GACATAAATTTCACTCTGAATGAGAGTGTTGTATTTTTTTCATCGCCATTACAATTGCCGCCCATTTCAACACACCCATTCAGATCTTTGGAGTAAAATAATCCCCACTGCATATCTCCAACGCCAGTAAAACATTTCCTCTTTAGTCCTAACCTTCATCCACTGGGACTAAATTTAATGTGCGGATGAACATGCCAACCCGCCCTCTACCCCTGTAGCAAAGGAGCGTTAGCATATGCTGCTGAGCCCTTAACTTAACTAATATGACCACCAAAAATAAATGTTAGGATACAAAGATTAGATGGAGGCAGAGGCGGCTGGCCCATAGGGGGCGCTCAGGCGCCACCCTCGCTGGATTTTGAGGGGAAAAGTTATAAATAATATATATAGATTTTGAAATTATTATTATTAATATCAGTTTTACTTAATAGTATGTTGCTACATGTAATATGAATTATCAAACCAACACTTCTATCAATTGACTGTAATTCAACAGTACATTTCCACCGACAGAACGTATCATTTCTCTGCTTGGGCGCTCATTCAAAGCGCCCCTGAAGTGTAGCAAAATAACCAATTGTATAAAGTTGCTAGGGAAAATTAATCAATATTTGGCCAATCAGAATCGCCATAAACCGTAACGACACAACAATAGGACCTTAAGCACCATTATCTGGGTGGGCCTCTGCCATGTGATGCGGTATAAATAAGGTCCGGTCAGTTGATCTAGTAGCAGGTGGGTTTAAGAGGAATTTTTTGCACCATTACATTTGTAAATAGATGTCCTAGTCCACAATTGCATAGGGGACCAACCAAGTGTCAGCGACGGGGCCCCTAAGCAACTGCAATCTCTGCTTACCGATAGTTACACCATTGCTTTGGGGCTCCTGGAATTTTGGCCCCTGATACAGTGATATAGATGTAGCTAGTAGTCAGTCAGACAGTGAGAACGAGATTATGGTGACGCCAACCGCTGAACTTGAAGCTTTCACACAATTCAGTGAGATCTTTACTAAGTTACCCTTTCATGAGAACGGGAAAAATCCAAAAGGAGCTGGGAACCTACAAGCCAGAAATAAATTTAACGCAGCGAACCGAGGAAAAAGCTAAACCCTACAACCGGACTTTTAGCCTGAGTTGGTTCCAGTGTAAGTCGTGGCTGACAGCCTGTGGGACAGCTAAAGCACTAAAGAGTTTTCCCTGCAACTTGAGGTGGACTCAGCCTGGACAGACAGACCTAAATAACCAAGAGACATGACAACAGATTCTGATAGATATTGTAATCTTCCTCAGATCAGAGAAATTGCTTAGAGTTTACAGAAGGCAGCTGCTCACCTCTCAGGAAGTTGCCCCGATTAGCAGTTAAAAAGGCATTTTATACATCTCCAGTCTGCCACATCATCCCATTTTACATCATACAAGTTAGCAGATGATTAGGCATTAATGGCTCCAGCATTATCAAAATATTACACTTCGTTCTTAGTTGAAGGACACGGCTCTCATTCCATTCCCAAATATTTGCCAGGTACAGAAGGAAGATTATAACTGTATATCCAGACAGAGGAACTGTCTTAATTAGATTAAAACATCAGTTCTGACACGCAACAGGCAGCCAATACCAAGGTGTAATAAACTCACACATCATCAATGATAATTATCCTAACACAACACAAAGCAGTGCTTTAGTACCAGAGATGGGAGTAACGGCGTTGAAACTAACGGCGTAACTAAGGACGTTACCTTGTTTTAGTAACGAGTAATCTAACTAATAACTTTGACTGTAACTATAACGCAGTTACCATTGCAGACACCCCGTTACTGCGCGTTACTCAGGTCGCACAATAAACCTTTTTTCATAATAGGACTCGTGCGCGCCTTGTTATGAGAGAGGGGAGAATGGCTGATGTATAGTGAGATTCCGTTTGTCAGTTGGGTAGGTGGGTGTTTCTGCTGGCGGGTGTTAACGTACAGCACACACAGCGAGATGGAGAGTGAGGAGGACTCAAGCAGCAAAACATCGTTTTCCAGATGGAAATACCGGTGTTACATCGAGCTGCATTTCCCCATCACAAACGGTTTCCCCTGCATCTCCGCACAGCGCAGGCGGCACGATTCACCGCGCAAGTGATAGGAAACGCGCATGCTCGTTAAAGGCGCGCAACAGGAGAACTATGGAGAGCGTGAACGATCAAATGATAGCCTATATGGAGAAGGGGAGAAATCTGGATGGATGGATGGATGGATGGATGGATGGATGGATGGATGGATGGATGGATGGATGGATGGATGGATGGATGGATGGATGGATGGATGGATGGATGGATGGATACGCTGCCTTTTCAACCTACTGTATTTTTTATTTTAAACATTATTTGATGGCCTTTGTGGCAGGGATGGAGATCCATATTTTATGTCACACACAGAGTATACATCTAGATAGATAGATGATAGATAGATGTTGCAGTATCTATAACAATCCAAACACACAGGATTTCAGAATTAGACATCCCCAGTTATTAATTTCACATACTCAGCAGATCTGAACGCCCTGTTAAAAAACTTCACATGGCGTTCCCGCTGATGTAATTTACATTGAGTTACAAGAAATGCAAAACTCTCTGCAGGTTCTTGTCTTTGTCGTCCGCTCTATTCAGATGGCTTTTGAAACACACGGCGAGAAGGTGGGGGCCGGGTGGTGAGGGTTACGGGGGCGAGAAACGCAAAAGTAACGCAATAGTTACTTTTACTAGTAACTAGTTACTTTTATTGTGGAGTAACTCAGTAACTCAGTTACTTTTTGGGAGAAGTAACTAGTAACTATAACTAATTACTTTTTCAAAGTAACGTGCCCAACACTGCCTACAGGACACCTAAAGTTTATGTTGAGACGTCAATTTATTCTATGAAAAGTTTTAGTTATTTAATCTCTGAAAAAAATTTACTTGAGATTTATTTATCATGCAAATGCTTTGCAATCTCTGTGTTTTTGAAAATTGTGTTTTAGCTTCTATATTGTTGTGTCAGCCATTCCAAAAATTATTTGGTGTAGTAATAATACAGTACTATTCTATTCTATTCTATTCTATTCTATTCTATTCTATTCTATTCTATTCTATGAAAAAAACAGGATGACAAACAATAAAAAAAGAGGAGAAATAAAGGGGTTGATTAAAGGGTGTTTTACATTTAATAACTCTCAGTAACTGGACACAAATATGCACCCCACTTTTCACATTTGCGTTTTTAAAGGTTTTAAAAAATCCGATCCCCTGTTTTTCTTCCATCTCACTTTTATGTACAACTTTGTATGTTACAAGACATCATGTGAGAACTGTGTTCAATTTTGCTTCTTTATTTCATGAACTACAATTTTAAACTTTGTAGTTGTCATAAACTGCCAGTAGATGACAATGATGATATGGACTTTGGTGTCTGGAGGGAGACATAAAGTAAATGTTTGATTACAGATTTGTGGACAAAGTCATAAGAGAAGCCTAGATGAGTAGAGTTAGGAATGTCATTAAAGTCATTTAATGTCACTTAAAGGCATTTAAGTTAATGCATAAGTTTAGTATGGAAGGTGAGCATATTGGTTTAAACCTCATAAAGGTATATATATATAAAAACAAACTTTAAAAGAAACCAGATGAGGTGGAGGTTTAAAAAATCTGCAAGATGAGCAAATACTCAGTAGATGTAAAACTGTGGAGTTGGGGGAAAAAGATATGTAAATTGATATTGCATCACAGTCGAAGATTTTGGAGAAAAAAAAAAAAAACGTGTCTTCATCACCATGTCTGAATGATGAAGATCTGGGGAAAAAAAGTGGCTGAGAAAAAAGAACCAAGAGCATTGTTGTGCTTTATGAGTTTCAGGATGACATATTTTGCTAATAAAAAAATAGTAGCATTTGTGAGTTTTCCTACCAGGCCTTATATATTTCCTCCTATACACCATCACAAATGCAGTAGATATGATCACAATATTTGGATGCAAAGTAAAATAAAGTTTTGTCATTGCCAATGTGGATGAGATAATTGAATAATGCATTTATGGACATTCAAGAAAATAAATTAACTGTGGAGGTCAAGATAGTGTTGCCTAAGGCCTAAGGGTGCATAAGGCAAGGAAATAAATGAGCAACTTAAACCAGTTAAATCACTGATGTGAAAAGACAGATGAAAACTGTAAGAAATAAATCAGTTCAAAACAGGGGAGAAATTTCTTTGAATTGGAGGCCTCGGCAAATTCAAAGAGGAAGGTCAGGAAAGGAAACTGAAGAAAACATGATGTGTTCATTGCACAGTTTATTAACTGTACTGATCAAGTGAACCAAAAAAAAAAAAATGAATAAATTGCTGTAAAAGGTGCATATAAAAGAGCATATAAAATATTTGACATTTCATTGGGCATAAACCAGAGCCAGAGATAAAAGTACATCTCAGTATTGAAAGAGACAGGAAGATGTAGGAGGTTGTGTTTTATGTCTGTAAAACAAAACAAAAAACACAATGTAGACTTTAATGAAAGGGATCTGTGATTAAGAATATGAAGATACTAATGTTTTATATTAAAAGAGCTTTACTACAATCAAATAAAGGAACTGATGGAAGGAAAATTCTGTTGAGATTTTAATACAACAGTACATTAAGTGGTAATGATGCCATTGTGGAACTGGTGGAAAATAAGATATTTATAAAGACAAAGGTTAGTTAATGATGGGGGGTGTTACTAGAGTAGTTACTGTATCAGAAAATGACCTGAATCAGCTGTAAACTTGATACATTTGATATATAAGAAAGACTTGCAGGGATTCCTTCAGCTTCTTTTTTTCTTTTGGTATTTTGAGTTTTTTTAGCAAATAATCCGTAGAAAGTTATCATTGGAAATCGAAATAATACATTTGGAAATTAATTTGTTTAAATATTTGGGCTGGTAGACTTTTATATTTATTCATTTCTTTTTGTGTAAACAACCCTTTCGGACTATTTTTCTGGGTGCACACTTCCGCCGTACACCGGATGTTGCTACCCGAACCAGAAGCGCCAGTTAAGTGCAGAATCGAACCTGTGCAGAGGATGTATGCCGCCTGTTCTAACAAGCCGCAGCTGGAAGACACTATTATTAAACTGACTAATTGAAATAAAGAGAAAATATCAGAGGAGGTCCTGGCATTGAGGGTAAGTTTTAACACGGTTAGCAGCTTGGAGCACATTTAGCATCTTCGAGGCTAGCTGCGTGTAGCTGGTGTTAGCTACGAAAAAAAGATACTTTATGTTATTCAGTTGTGAATAAAAAAAACTTACTAAAAAGTATGTTATAGTGCAACGAATGTGTATATGACTTATACATGGATAGACGGTTTATAAAAGAGGACGGTGCACGTGTTATCCGTGCAGCATAAACATAGGCTCCAATGACAAAAGAAACATTGAGTGTTGCGAACTAATTTTGCATGTTACTCTATTCTAAAGAAATGCTAGTTGGTCTTGTCATTTCCTTATTGCATTTTGATGTTTTTTCATTCCTACTTCAGGCTAACACGCGTACCTTAATTTACTGATACGCCACATGGGATGTTTTTATTACATTTGTATTAAAGTGTCGGGTTTAATGTTATGTTCTCCGACCAGACTAGCCCAGTGGGACCAAAAAAACCAAGAGAAAAGTAGAAAATTGTTAGATTTTCTTTGACAAAGTCTTGATTAAATGAACAATACTCTATGAAGTGAACAGTTGTGGAAGTATAACGGGCCTTCATTGACAACAGCTGGATAGCAGGTAATATGTGGATCTCTGTTTGGACATTGTCAGCTTTCCTCAGTGTATTCTTCAATAACATGGTACTGAAGCTCCTAAAACTGTTTCTGGATAAGGGATTTTCTTTCACCCACAGGTTCCAAAAAGTGAGAATAGGCTACAGTACATTATGCTCTCTGATCATTCAAATTTTTTTTTTTTTTAAACAATCCACTGGACTTGGTTTCCAAGTTTGAAGACGTTTCGCTTCCCATTCAGGAAGCTTTTTCAATTCAAAATGAAATTCAAACTTTTGCAATTCAAAATGAAATTCAAACTTTTTCAATTCAAAATGAAATTCAAACTTTTTCAATTCAAACTGAAATTCAAACTTTTTCAATTCAAACTTTTGAATTTAAAAAAGCTTCCTGGATGAGAAGCGAGACGTCTTCAAACTTGGAAACCAAGTCCAGTGGATTGTTTTTTATTATTTTTTTTGGGAATGACTAACCTGGATGACCCTCTCTGATCCTGAACACGGGATGCCCCAGAGCTTTGTGCTCAGTCCTCTCCTCTTCACCCGTTGCACTAAATCCGGGCATACTCTGTGCGTTTTTTTTTTTTCAATCATTGCCTGCAGCTACAGCTCAAGCTTTACGATGAAACTATCAGGGTTTCGTTGTACAGTGTGAGTTCACAGCTCAAGATGCTTGTTCAGTCTGATGCGATCTACGTACTCACACTGTACATCTAAAAACCACGGATTCAGCTCCGCAGTGAGATGGCGCTACTCGAACTCGTCTATCCTGAAGCCAAATGAGTAGAAGAGGAGTATGAAGTTCACTAGAGTGAAATGAGCTGCCTTGGCAATTTGTGCAATTTTGTGCTGAAATCCCTTAAAAACAAAAGGCTGCGATGTATTTGGACAAAGACTTGGCTGAGCAAACGTGGCTACTACGGTCTGTCAACTTTACAGAAAGAACTCCATTTTACTCGCACCCCTGCCATGCTGCTGTGTTTGCAGCTGAGAGGAAGAAGAAAAGGAGAATCCTTGTTTGCGCATGCACACTGAGAGATTTACCCACGATGGTACCCTGAGGTCGGGAGAAAATCAAACATGTTTAATTTTCTCCTGACCTCATGATTCCTGATCAAGAGGTGGTCGTGGGAGGCTGATCGCCCCTCGTTACCCCCTGTATACTACACGATGCACGATCAGGCCGAAAGTCGGCCCGAACAGAAAATTCTCGCGCAACTGGAAAATCGCACCGAAAAGGCAATAAATCGCACAATGTACAACCTGCTTAAAAACTACTTTGCTATCCACCACAATTAATCTGCTTGGGGAGTTTGCACAGGACAGACCACCATGCTTGATGTAATCACAGATAATGAGACAATCCACCAGAGTGGAAAGCAAATAAATGTCCCTGTGGTGTTCAGACTGACATGGTCCTGAACGCCACCTAATCCACAACAACCAGAGAGGATGTTTTGGATTTCAAGGAGACCAAACATCCCCTTCTTATACATAGAGAAGCAGTGTAATGTTTTTTATAAAATCAAGTTGCTGGTAGGGGTGTATTTGATTAGTCAGCCCCACTTTCTTTAGTTTGGTTGATCGATTATGGCCGATAGTAGTTTTATCGACCTCCACAAGGGTCTGAAGTTCACTGACAATTCTCTAAACCTTTATTTTTTATATGAGAGCACTGCCTCATGAGCATTTAAAACAAGCTTTTATTATTTCACTGGTACTGCTTGAGTTTGGGGGAAAAAAAGGAAATTTTGAATTATGAAGTTATAACACTGTTATAAAACCCAACAGTGTCAGTCATAAAAAAAAAACAGCAAAACATAAACCATAGTTGTTAGGTAAGCCTTTTAAATATCAGTGGTCAAACAGAAAAAAACATGACCCTTGCACCCCTAGTTTCAAGGTATTTAGGTTTCCTCTGACCTGTCCTGGACTTTTTTAATCAGAAAGCAGAAAAGGTTATCCTTTAAAGGGCTTGTAAACTTTTACGAAGCCTGAGTAGAGACCCTGTTTTTAGATGGAGCAGTGCAGTGAGGGAGCTGCATGGCACAGGAAAGAAAGAACTTACCTTGAGCTTCCAGAACCATGCAAGGACCATAAGATGTCATCTCCCCTATTTGTTTTCTTTAGACTAGACGAGATCAGAAAAGAATTAGAGCCATCACTTTAGTCCCGTTTTGTCCAAAACTAGTTTGTACCGCCGCTTCAGGGAAAAATCTCCATAGAAACCCCCCATATTTCTTTTCTTCCTTGGCCTCTTATTCTCCCATTTAGTTTTCCTACTTATTAATTATTTTTTTTACCACAAAGGTGAGTTGGTTGTTTAGTTAGGCCACAGATTAAGCCACCAAAGCTAAAATACACCCTGTATTGGTCAATGCATCCCTAATTATACTACTCTATGTTAGACTTATTTATGATTTCCTTTACATATGTCTTGCAGTGCCTTAAGAAATCTTGAACGATGATGGAGCGAAGACGAGCCTTAACTATTCCATTTGTTGACAAGGACAAGCTGGTATTTGTTAAAGTAGTTTATTTGATTTCAGGTTATTAAATTGCATGTTAACTTGTCAATTTGTAAGCAATGATTCCATACATCTGTGCTGTGATTTGCTGCTGGCTTGCAATGTGGCTATGGCTGTCTTATTGTAGTTGTTGGACATGATATCACCAGTGTGTGTCTTTAAGAAGTTATGTGTGAGCTGATTCCTTTCGTCTGGTTAGGTTTGTCTTTGTGATGTGGTTTAAAAAAACTGGGTTTTATGCTAATGCTGGTCCTGTTTGTGTGTCACTGACTGCCTAAATGCACAGCTGCACTTTATAGCCACCTGAAACAAAAATGAATAAAAGTCACCACAGAAAACCTGAAACCAAGATTTATTTAAATCTAGTTTTAAAGAAAACTTTAACAGGCAGTAAATATCTGAATTATCTGAACAACAAGCTTGAAATGCAACTGCTGCATGCTTCTATAATCCCACAGTTAACAGCCCTTTATTACTTACTTGGGCTAACACTAACAGTAGGTATACTGTTAGTGTTAGTGGAGTAGGAGTAAAATATTGACCTCGGGGAGCATTCCTGAGCTTGCAAATCAAATCACCTGAGCTCTGCCTTTGCAGCTCATATTTATTTCATTAATTTCATCATCCAGTTGGTTGGATCAGAGGCATATTTACGCTGTCATCATATTACTGTGTCATAAATTGCCTTTTTTTCCAGTCTTTTCTTTCCTGTTTTTACCTGTCTTTCTGCATGTTTTCGCTAAAGTACATTTTAACCCTTCTTTTACTGGTTTCTATTTAAGTAAAAGGATCTTGGTGAATCTTTCTCTTTATTTAGATGGAGAACCCACTGAAAATATCTGTGGCGTGCTTGTCATCAGAGTGTGGAAAGTTGGACGGGCAGGTACAAAATATCTTTGATCTCTCCGGCTACAATAACTTATTTTGTCAGCGCTCTTATATGTATTTTTTCTTATCGTCTGAAAAAGGTCCCATGGACTGCTTTTGCTGATCATAACGGCAGTCCCAAACCCAAACCAAGGCATAAAAACGGCTCCACGGTGTTTGATTGTAATCGTACAGCTTTGAAAAGTTCGGACATAATGAGGTAAGTGAGGCACACAAAAAAAATAAACATCTAAAACAACGTATTTTTACCATGTAGTATACTAACTTTTAAAGAACAGATGATGGAGAGGAGATTTGCTGAATCAGAAATCATCCGTAGGCCTATGAAGATGTTTGAAAATCCATATGTCAATAAATTAAGTGGAGAAACGTTTAATACAATTTTGAATGGTATTTAGCAGCATTGCTAGCCGGTGAAACTGCTGTCACTAACTAGTCCCTCTATGACTAAAATGTTATATGAATGCTGGGTGGAGGTGTAGATGTGCTTCCCTTGCATCCCACTAAGATAATTAAAATAATTTGTTATATTGCAAACAAATAGCATCACAAAGACTGAGGAACACTTGAGCGGCGTCAGAGAAGAAGTGGTGGGTAAGATTATAGCAGCGTTGGCCTATAGAGGAGTATCTGAAGCTTTTCACATCCCACAGAGTTCTGTTTATTTGTCCTTCATTCAAAAATGGGAGTAGGGCACAATGGTTGACCTAAAAACATGGCTGTCCACCTATACTAATAAGCCATGCATGAGATAATCATGGAGGAGGTGCAGAGAACTCCCCTGGGAGAATGTGTGTATATAGCTATTGGTTGTCACTCCACAAATTTAGCAAACATGGAACAAAGTCAATGTTGAAGGGAAGTCGTGATTAATCCTATTTAAGGTTTGGCAAGAGCCATGAAGCAAAAGGAGGGGAGGAGCCAAGATAAGTGGTAGTGACATGATACCAGGTTGTGGGGGTGCTTTGATGCAACAGAAAACAGGAAACGTGTCAGGGTTGATGGGAAGATATATGGAGCTAAATACAGACTGAGTGAGAGAAAACCTGCTGGACCTAACTAGACAAAGATCCACCTTCTAGTCTCGCAAGGACCTTTTTTTGACAAAGGGTGGGGAGCAGGGTAATTTTGTGAGAGGCTGTGGCTCTTTGTTTTTATTTTTTTTTTATCTGACCTAAATAATCTGCTAAAAAAAAAACCGGCTAAAGCGTGATTATTTACTGTGTGTGTGTCAGTGAACTGGTCTGAGAGTATTTGCATGTGTCTGCCTGTGTGGTGTGAGTTCACTGGAAGCTGTTGTTCCCATATCTGTTGACTACAGATCAAGCCTGGCTTATTTTAGGAGTAAAAAAATGTGAATGAAAGTGGTGAAATCTATACTCGCCCATGCTCTCCTATTTTATTTTATTTTATTTTTCATACTTGTGCCAATCGATTTTTAGGTGAAATGCTCGCACTTTACAGCTGTGTAGGTCTGGCCTTCTTCCCTTTAAAATTTCTCCAGCATTCGTATTGATCCCAATCACACTTTCCAATCATCCATCCACTTGCAAGTGCACGAGGGATCTCCCGTTTGCTGAGCTGTCTTCTCCTGTACGTTCATTGCATTTAGAGTGACCTACGATGACAGCGGAAAGAAAGTTGTGGATAAAAGTGCAACAGTGTGCAAGCATTGTGCAACACGTTTTGTTTATGCTAACAGCAACATGTCATACTAACCCCGAAATCCCTCATACTCCGTCAGCAACCCCCGCTCCGCCCCACTCCGCTCCAGACCGGCTGCTCAAAGCAAAGCCTACAGCCTCTACTGTGGCTCCCGTCCGCTCCCCTCTGAGTCCCTTGTAGATGGTAGAGAGCATGCGCGAGATGATTAAATTCAAAGCAGCAAAACATACGGAAATGATCCAGGGTTTCCGCGGATCATTTAAAATAATTACAATCCATTGTTTTTTGGGGGATTTTTTCATTAATTTCATAAATTTTAATGGGATTTCGGTTTAACAATGAACATACCGTATTTTCACGACCATAAGGCGCACCGTACTAAAAGGCGCAGTCTCAGTTATGTGTCCCATTTCTGTATTTAACACACACATAAGGCGCACCGGACTATAGGGCGCGTTTTTTATATACAGGTACATGTCCTCTACTACCTTTAAATACCTCTACTGCGTATTTAAAAATACAGCGGGGGCAAAACTGAGTATGACTGTGCTTTATTCATGTATTTATTAAAAAGTATTAATCAAACCTGGCAGCTGGCCGTGAGACAGACACATCGCAGATGACACAGCGCTGTGGTCACTCCTAAATTAAATTAAACTCCTGAAACCTGCCGACGGAATATGTTCGCTTTTATGGGTGATTGCAGCTTAAATTATTTAGATGAAAAACACCTGCCATCCACCGCGTGAACCCGGAGGCTGCCCAGCCTAGAGGCTGCTGATGAAAGGATTTCTCCTGTCGGCGCACCGCTGGTATGTGGGGGTCTGAGCGCCTCCGACAGAAATAGATAATCTGGATGAACTGACTGCAATTATTAAGTTTTCAGGTGGACTTTCTCACTTAAAAACATATTAAAACTACTTTATTCCCCCTAATCACAGCAAATATAGCTGCAAGATTTAGATTATTTAGATGAAAAAACACCTGCCAGCCACCGCGGTGAAGAGGAGGAGACCCGCCCAGAGGCTGCTGTTGAATTAAGTTTTCAGGTAGAAAAATAGAGCGGGAGCAAAACTGAGTATGATTGTGCTTTATTCATGTATTTTTTACAAAGTATTAATCAAACCCATCAAAGTCATCATCCTCTGTTTCTGAATAAAACAGCTGCGCTAAATCAGACATGCCAATTTCCCCTTCTTCGCTGTCAGTCACTTTCCGTGCAGCGCAGCTCCTCAGAAATAATGCCGGCTTTTGCAAAAGCTTGTACAACAGAGCCAGCAGACACGTTAGTCCAAGCATCAACAATCCATCCGCAAACGGTGGCGTAACTTGCCCGGCGCTGCCTTCCACTTATCCTGAAACTGTGGTCTCCGTCGGCCATCCATCGCTCCCACGCCGCTCGCAGCCTTACTTTGAACGGCCGCTTCACACCGATGTCGAGCGGTTGAAGCTCCTTTGTCAGACCCCCCGGGATAACGGCGAGCACAGTATCCATTTGATTCGTTTTTTTTCACATCGGCTGTGAGATGGGCACGCAGCGATGGTGATGCGTGGAAAAAACCACCTGGTCTCCTCACATACACCTCCCTCAGCCACGCTTTCATCATCTCCTCATCCATCCAGCCTTTTCCATTTGCGTTAATATCATATGTCATCAGAGCGCTGTGTCTGTCTCGCTGTCAGCTCCCAGATCAGCTTCTCTGATTGGTTGATGCGGCGCGTCCAGCAGCAAAACTTCAATTTTTCCATCTCGAGCAGCAGCAGCGCGTTGGCGGTGCGTCAGATGCTTAAACGCTCCTGCTGCTCAAAACGCGCTGCAGGACCTTTTGCTGCACCTATACGCGCGTCAACCATTTACTTTGCATGTAAACTCGCTGCTTCTGCTGCACCTGCTGGGTCCGGTTCACACCGATGTCGAGCGGTTGAACAGCGAGCACAGGCTTAATTTGTTTCCCCATGTTTTTCACATCAGCTGTGAGATGGGCACGCATGGAGTTACATATTAACAGCGATGGTGATGAGTGGAAAAAAAAAACACCTGGTCTCCTTACATTCAGCCACTCTTTCATCATCTCCTCAATGAGGTGGTCTCAAAAGTCGCAGTTACAACACACATAGGGCGCACCGCACCATAGGGCGCACCGCACATTTTGAGGGAAAAAAAAGACGTTTAAGTGCGCCTTATAGTCGTGAAAATACGGTATACCGAATCGAACCGAACTGAAAACCGTGACCACGAAACCGTTAATCGAACCGAACCGAACCGTGGATTTTGTGAACCGTTCCACCCCTAATAAATAAATATATATATATATATATATATATATATATATACAACTAGTGTTGCACCGATACCGATACCAGTATCGGGCGGGGCCCCAATACTGCCCTAAAATGGTGGTATCGGCGAGTACCAACAAATATGGCACCGATACCATTTTGAGAGCCATAAGTTTATTCAACTATTGTCACCCACTCCTGGTAGGCAATAAAAAGTTCTACTGGATTCACTTTGTATTAGATTTTTTCCTGCTTCACAAAGGTAGGCAGCAGCTTGACAAAGCCATGATGGCAATTATTTTACATTATTATGGTATCGGTATCAGCCGATACTGAACCCCGGTATCGGGGCCAAAAAATGGCATCAGCGCAACACTAATTACAACATCATGGTTGTAATGTAATTAAGTGAGAAAGTTCAAGGGGATTTGATATTTTAAAAAGTCCTGTATATACTCTAATAGAAGTACATTGCTTAATTATTGTATTTCCATCTTTGAAAAATAAATCCTATATTCTCAATTTATTGTTAGTATTTCTGTTTATCATGATTTTATTTATTTATAGGAATGACTGTATTTAACCATTTTGACTATGGCCAAACTTATCTTGAAACCCATATGGCTTATCTTAAGCATTCAGGCACTCCCTGTCCAATAATCGTCCAAATAAACTTGTCTGTTGCGTAGAAGGAGTTGAAGTTTGAAGATGTTGATAAGCCACAATATCATAGATGAAGGTTGAAAGAAAACTTTTCTCTTTTGTGTCCTTCAGGAGAAAGCCACGTCTTGTCCTAACAGATGTCTTAAAGACGGAGCCAGGCAAGGATTATATTAAGAGGTTAAAAAACAGAAGCAACGTAAGAAGACTCTCTGGTCTTCGAAAGGTCGACAGCCGACGCAAAAAGGAAGAACTCTGCTACAGCGAAACTAGATCCAGACAGATGGAGGAGAAGAACAAGAGCAAGGATATAACCCCTAAAGGAAAAAAGAGGACTCCCACATCTCAAAGGTAAGATTGGTGTTGAAAAAGGAATAAAATACAATAAGGTGGATTCATCGGCTCTGGTTCTACTACCAGATCAACTAGTAAGGATATATGTTGACCTGATACTGCTGTCTAACAAATATTTTATCAGAGCCTACAATATGTATTATTATTATAGTTTTTTTTTATTTAATTTAAAAAAAAGTTTCACTTCAACAAATAATTAAAAAAAATGATTGACTTGGATATTTGTAAACTGTACAGTAGCAAATAACAAACAAAGGTATTTAGAGGATGAGCAAATCCATCTAATATGTTTTTGCAAGTCACATCCCCCTGTACATTTCTCTCTCAATTCAATTCAATTCAGTTTATTTATATAGCACCAAATTCACAACACATGTCATCTCAAGGCACTTTACAGTTCAACCATATATATATGGTTCATATATATAACTTTATTGTTAAATGTTTTTTTTGCCAATTATGTCACTATAAGGACACTTTTCTTTTTAAAGTTATAATCTTTTCATACAAACCTTAAAGCTACAGTGTGTAATAATTACAGGGATATACAGTCAGAAATGTAATATATTATACATAACTATGTTATTTATCATCATCTACGAGCTCAGCCTCTTAACCTTAATATTTGCGTTGCCTTAGAATTCGTTATTTATAATTACATAGGAGCGGGTCTCGCAGCCATGGAGGCAGACATCTTTGCGCTACGGCAGCGCAGAGCCAACAAACTAGCGATTGCGAGATCGCCAAAACGTCACAACGATGTAGAAAAAATAACGGGTATATTTATTATCTTAAGTCTACATGAAATCTATACCCTACACACACTAATGAAATACTGTCTGTAAAATTATCTATGCAAACAAACCTCATCACTTGAGAAGGTAGGTGATGCAGACGTCGTGGAAGACATTTTGTCCCGTAACGCTCGCCGTACTGTTGGGGGAGAGAAGCGGTGGGGGGAGATGTTCATGTTGCTGCAGTCTGCAGTCTGACCGCTAGATGTAGCTAAAAGTTACACAGTGTAGCTTTAAACAGTAGATTTCACTTCAATCAGCTTTGCTGACGGTGAGAAACACTGAAACCTGTAGGACAGCTGCCCTTGGCGCCTACTTTGGACACGCTTGCTCAAACACAAGCCATTAGTTCAACCTAGTCAGAACAGCGTGTATTTGAAATTGTAAAAATATATATGAAAACTTATTTAAAATGAAAAACCTTTGTCTGTCTATATGTTCTACTCAGAACTCCTCAAGTAGCTTAGTTTAAGCTTCACCTGGTTTCAGTTCTGTATAATTCTTCTTTAAGGCACATTTTGCCTTCAACTAATTGCATTAATTAATCGAAAAAAATTATCAACAGATTAATCGATTGGCAAATTGATCATAATTGCAGCTCTAGGATTAATTAGATCCTGCAGTCTTATCCGTTAACTGGTACAGGTATCATACAGGATTTTACCACATGGGTCAAACTTGCATCACAATATATGTCTTAATTTCAGTCGCTGTTATATCATTTTTAGATCAATATATATAAACAAAATAAAGTTAGCAAAAAACTCCAATATAAACATTTGGTAAATATGCTGTAATCATAACCTGTAATGTCTTATTGAAATAGTCAGAATGTTATATTACTGTCATTGAATAAAATTTAATCACAAATATATATATATATATATATATATATATATATATATATATATATATATATATATATATATATATATATATATACACACACACTCACCGGCCACTTTATTAGGTACACCTGTCCAACTGCTCGTTAACACTTAATTTCTAAGCAGCCAATCACATGGCGGCAACTCAGTGCATTTAGGCATGTAGACATGGTCAAGACAATCTCCTGCAGTTCAAACCGAGCATCAGTATGGGGAAGAAAGGTGATTTGAGTGACTTTGAACGTGGCATGATTGTTGGTGCCAGAAGGGCTGGTCCGAGTATTTCAGAAACTGCTGATCTACTGGGATTTTCACACACAACCATCTCTAGGGTTTACAGAGAATGGTCCGAAAAAGAAAAAACATCCAGTGAGCGGCAGTTCTGGGGGCTGAAATGCCTTGTTGATGCTAGAGGTCAGAGGAGAATGGCCAGACTGGTTCGAGCTGATAGAAGGGCAACAGTGACTCAAATAACCACCCGTTACAACCAAGGTGGGCAGAAGAGCATCTCTGAACGCACAGTACGTCGAACTTTGAGGCAGATGGGCTACAGCAGCAGAAGACCACACCAGGTGCCACTCCTTTCAGCTAAGAACAGGAAACTGAGGCTACAATTTGCACAAGCTCATTGAAATTGGGCAATAGAAGATTGGAAAAACGTTGCCTGGTCTGATGAGTCTCGATTTCTGCTGCGACATTCGGATGGTAGGGTCAGAATTTGGCGTCTACAACATGAAAGCATGGATCCATCCTGCCTTGTATCAATGGTTCAGGCTGGTGGTGTCATGGTGTGGGGAATATTTTCTTGGCACTCTTTGGGCCCCTTGGTACCAATTGAGCATCGTTGCAATGCCACAGCCTACCTGAGTATTGTTGCTGACCATGTCCATCCCTTTATGACCACAATGTACCCAACTTCTGATGGCTACTTTCAGCAGGATAATGCGCCATGTCATAAAGCTGGAATCATCTCAGACTGGTTTCTTGAACATGACAATGAGTTCACTGTACTCAAATGGCCTCCACAGTCCCCAGATCTCAATCCAATAGAGCATCTTTGGGATGTGGTGGAACGGGAGATTCGCATCATGGATGTGCAGCCGACAAATCTGCGGCAACTGTGTGATGCCATCATGTCAATATGGACCAAACTCTCTGAGGAATGCTTCCAGCACCTTGTTGAATCTATGCCACGAAGAATTGAGGCAGTTTTGAAGGCAAAAGGGGGTCCAACCCGTTACTAGCATGGGGTACCTAATAAAGTGGCCGGTGAGTGTGTGTGTGTATATATATATATATATATATATATATATATATATAAATATTAGGGCTGCAACTAACGATTATTTTAAAAATCGATGAATCGGACAAAAAATATTTTTTATATTAACCTCTTTATTCCAAAATAAACATTTTAGACAGAACAAACAAGCACACAAGTACAGGTTGCTCATTAATTGTACTGGTGCAATATGAAAAATAAATGTTTGTGTTAAAACTACGCAAACTTACATGAGAAATGTAGCTGTACATCCACAAAATATAGGCTACTTTGTTTCATAAAGCGCAAAAAGAGACAGGCATTTTTGTTTTTTAAAGCCCCTAAGGGGTTCAAACAATAGGCCCCCCCATTTCAACAATTTCATTTTTTTTAGACTAGAAGAGTTCTGCCTTTTAAGACAGGAAAGTATAGCAGTTAAAGTTGCTGCTTGAGAAAATACTTAATCCTAGAGATAAAAATAGCCCTGTGATTCAAATTATAAATTGTATTTGGAATAAAAATGAGAGAACTAGGGGTGCTAAAAAACACATCCTCCAAAGACAGATATTTACATGGGAATGTGGCAGATAATTCATTGACATATTACTGATCTTGCTGGATTTTGTTCTGCTTTACTTCCATAAATTGCAGAATCTTCTTTACTTTATCTTTGCCAGAAGATTTAAACTTCAAAAGCCTTGCCCTCATAATTTGCAAGTTAATTTATTTATAAAGAAAATATAAACGCTGCTTAAACTAATTGAAATGAAATTAAAAGTAAAATAAGTAGCCAACCTTATCACTGTCTGTAACCTACTAACAAGGTAAGGAAAGCATCAGATGAGCTACCTGAGAAACTAACGTTACGTTTCCCCACTTTAAAACCAAACAAACATGGTCACTCATCCTGCTGATCAGCTCTCTTCACTGCCATCGAAGGCTCCAACGTGTTTTCTTTTAAGGTGTTGCGTCATAACAGTGGTGCTTCCGCGCCATGTTCATTTGTTTTTACAAAAGTTGCATGTTACGACTTTTTTCACTTTACAAAGCGCAGGCTATTTTAATTATTGTGATCAATTTGCGCCGTCAATCCCGGCGCATGCGAGCTTCATTTGCAGTCTGGACGCTGAGGGTAAACTCCTCACTAAAATCCTGCGGCTCGGACTGCCGCGCTGAGAGGGATTCCTGTGGGAGAGGGAGAAAGGGGTTGGGATGGGGGAGGCGCCCCACGGCAGGCAAAAGCCGCCAGTGACACCGTAAAAAGTCGCCAGATTTGTCGCTAGTCGCTTTTTTGAAAAATAGTCGCTGGAGGGGTCTGAAAAGTCGCTGAGTTGGCAACACTGCAGCTGCGGCGCTGACTCGCTCCAGCATATTTTTTTTTCTTCCCCCGGATGAAGGCGGCGGCGGATGACGCATTAATCGCGCGACACAACTAATCGAGGATTAAATTCGTTGCCAACGCTTTCAAAAGTCGATTTTTATCGATTTTATCGATTCGTTGTTGCAGCCCTAATATATATATATATAGAGAGAATTATTGTCCACTCCTTGTTTGCTTAATAAAAACAAAATAAGAACAGCAAAGGCCTAAATGGCTAACTGTTAATTCATTGTATTGTTAATTCATGTGCTTTTATGTTCTGAAAGTGATTAATATGAACAGTTCTGCATTGCACTTAATTAGAAGAGTTTGAAACAGACTATAAATATCCTGCATTGTTCCACTATGGTGTAAAAATGATGGTTATTAAGTCTGTCAGCTGCTTGGAGTGAGGGTCTGCATTAACATTTCTTTGTGCATTAAGGATGCAGCAGTATAGGGCTGTAAGTGATTATCATCCAGAACTTACGTGCAATGACATCCTAACTTATGCATAACACACGGCATGGTAATGCCCATGAAATGTCAAAAGCCAGTGCACTGAGGAGGGCAGCGTCCTGCTGTTTACTGTCTGCCAAAAAAATAAAAAATAAATAAATAAAAGACAAAGACAGGAAGAAGGTTTGCAGTCGCAGCAGATTCAGCGTCATGTCTGCTAGGAATTTTGTTGGTCATGGGCGTGAACGCAGGGAGGATCCATCACACTCGCCTACTCACTCAGCCTAAAACTGGAAGAGTCAAATTGATGAGATCATGCTGATGTTGGAGGACAGCTAGTATCTATTCCCATCTCAGCCTTGCCGGATCCTCCATATCTTGTTGAGTGTCTGAAGTCTGGAGGAGTTCTGACAGTTTCCTCCTGTTAACCCCCTTTTATACCAAAACGCTGCCTATACACCATTAAACAGTAGCTGTCAGTTAAAAACACGTTCATCGGTCGTCTGGAACACGTCAAATATGTTAATATACGTTGGAGATAAGTTCTTGATAAGTTATGCACAAGTTACTCATAGGTTAGGGATAAGCTAGACGCCACGACTTGTGAGTAACTTACACTTAACATATATCAAATAACCTACCTGTAACTTCTGGCCTACTTGTGGCCACGTACTTGCCCTATGTCGAATTGTTCCAGCGTGCTCATAACTAATACAAAACTGACCTATAACTTATCCAATGTGTGCTAGAATTTTTGCAAGATTATTCGTACATCAGGCATAAGTTGCCTAAATCGTCAAGGTGTAACAGGGGCTTTATTAATTTTGTTTTTTCTGTCACTGAAGGACCAACAATGTGGAAAAACCTCTTTATCTTATGTATGGTTTCATATTCTGTTTTCAGTCCCTGAATTATTTCCCAGAAATCTTAAACTCTGCTCTGTAGAGCTCACTATTCTGTCCAGCATGTTTAAGTGTTCTCCTGCCTTCACACACCTGATTTAAATGAGGGTAATTAACAGACCTCTCCAGATCTTGGAGGCTGTTGAAAAGGAAATGCAATCGTTAGATTCAGGTGTGCGGAAACAGAGATGCATCTGACAGAACAACACCATCCTCCTTGATGCTGTCTTTTAAAGGCGGCGGGTTTATCCTGTGTAGTTACTGCAGATAGGATTGAAACATGGTTTGAATGACACCTTGACTGGCATCTGCTCTCTGTAGGTAAAAATTGATGTTCCACGAAATTATGGTTTGAGATAAGCCTGTTTTCCCTCTCAGTAACTATTTAAGTTTTTTTTTATGTGGAAACAATTGAATATAAAATGACTAGGAGTTATCACTAGGAGTTATCACTAGGAGTTACATACATAATTTATGAAGTGAGGCTTTTCATTTTTACATAGAACAAAAAGAGTGAGGAATGTTATTTTTTTTCCTTTAATTTTAAAATTTTTTTTTTTACTTTATTAAAGCTTTGTGGTAACCTTTAAACTGACTTTGTGAAGTGAACTTCTCCTTTATGTTCTTATCTCTATAGACTACTAAATAGACTAAGAAAACCCCAGAACACTGAAGAGGAAGATGATGAAGAAAGCCAAGGTACCAAAGAGATGAAAATCAGCAAAGAAAGCGAAGGAGGCGAGACGTTTGCTGAGGTTGTAGGTGGGTGTGTTATCTGTGCATTAAAAATACTTTTTTTTTTTTAAATCTCTCCGGGTGAAGTTTGACCCTTACAATTCCCCATTCCTGTGTTTATTATTGCTAAGAGATATTATAAGTAACAGTTTATTGTTTTGCTACAGAAAACAATAAGTGGGCTGAATTTTAAAGTTTTGTCACTTTCAGACTTTCTATAAATATTTTTTACAGAATCAGAATATTTTCACCTTCTGTGTCGAACATCAGATTCCCAACGATAACTACTGTGAACCAAAACGATTTTACATGTGAGAGCAGAAGGCAATGACAAATATGGTTAAAGGTCTTTCTATTTCTGTGTATTTCTGTGTGAAGTTTTCATTAGATCATTCATTTGTAAGCTACTCGAAGAATCTAGTTTTGCACAAACGACCACGCCTTGATCCAACGTTTCTCGTTTTCCCTTTTTCACTCTGATGAGTTAAACTCCAGCAAATCACCTTCACCATATTTATTTGCAAAATTCATGTTTTTTTTATTTAACTTGGTTCAAAGATTGCAACTAATGAAGAGAAAACAAACTGTACAGTTACTTAAAACTGCGTATTATAATGAGAAATTAAAGGAAATTGTCCCAAGAGCAGTTTTGAGACTCTTCCTATCAGCAGCAACAACATCTTGCTATGGAACAAAAGCTTGAAGAAAAGGCATAACACCATCTGTTATAACCTAGTTCATCCACATGATCTTTTTCTGTTATATTAAACAGCTATTCTCTTTTCTAATTTTGGATGTTTTATTGTTAAGATCATATCAGCTTAATGTTTTTTTTTTTTTCCTCTTTCAGATTGTGGATTGTCACTGAGCTGGCAGTCCACTGGGGATACATCAGCCTGTGATGGGATCTCTGCAGATTTCAATAAAGACAAGTTGACTGGATCAGAAGAAGATGCAGATCACTGTTTGGCCATGGTATATTTAAAGCTCTAGATATAAACTTTAACATGATGTCTTCGTCACAGTTTAAGCTGGTAATTCCGCTTTAGGTGATATCAGGAAAAAAAATGTACACTTTTAAAAAATATTTGCTCCTTATCTGTTACAGAACATTTAAAGCAGTGCTTGAACATTTAAAGAAAGTAGCTCAAACAAAGTTAAAATATCTGCATGGCGATTTTATATGACGTGTCTGCAGATGTTATTTTGCTGCACAAAATCTAAGAATTTATGGATGTTGTTTATAGTAATTGTTTGAGTATAAACCACATTTCCCAGCTTTCTGTTTCAACCTCATGTTTCGATTGGCTTTTATAAACCCACTCTGTTTAGTTCACTGATGAGCTGAAACATGTTTTTGTCTGTGAGACTAAATTCATGCGGTTTCTTACTATAGAGCAACTGATAACCTCAAAGCATCCTGGACACTGTTACGCCTTTTAAACACACCTGAACTACTGAGAAGTTACTCTTCTTAATATCAGCTGGTTTGAGTTCAAGTGGGAAAACAAGAAGGGAGTTAGCGCATACTTTAAAGCAAAGTGGCGCACCAGATTATGGTAGTAAAATATTTTACAATCCTTATAACAGCCACCAAATTTCTTTTTTGAAATTATAAAATTTTTGAACAAATCTGGAAGAATATTGGACCAAATATAATATTGGCTCTATTTTTAGAAATGCTAAAAATTCTTATCCTCATCCTTCAATTTTAACAAAATCATTTGCATACCAAGTAACCCATACATAAAACTGCAATATTGTAGGAAAATTGTTAAAACTATGATCTTAATTTTCTTTAAAACTTCATTAAGAATCTTATATGATAAAAGATTTATTTTATTTTTTTGTTATGATGATTCTGAGATGTTCTTTTAAGGAAACTAAATCAGAACTGTTGGAAGTCAAATAGTTTAGGAGGATTGAATCCTTACAGATTTTGTTTTTCCTGTTGGCATTGGGACTCTTTATCCTCTTGGGGATTTTCTCCACAGTGTTCCCCAGGGGGAATTCTTGGATTTATTTTTACTTAATTGTAATACTTCTGTGACATAATAGAAACACAAAAAGCCCTGCACATTTTAATACAGTTGATGGACATTTTTACAGCCAATGGAAGGTTTCATCATACTGACCTGGTTTCAAATGTTGCAGTTCATCTTTTATTGGCAATTTAAGTTGTTTTTTTTTCTTCTCCTGTTTCAGTCGTTGAATAACCAGGTTCCATTTCGTTCTTTACCTTTTTACAAATAAGAGGCATCTAAGGTCTACATCAAACAGCTCTGTTTCTGAATATAATAATAATTGAACATCATTGACCTCGCAATGGAGGATTTTACTTGCTGCATCTTAACCCGTCCTCTTGGGGAGCAGTGGGCTGCCATTGTGTGGCGCCTGGGGAAAATCTGGGGTGTCTCAGAGACCCAGAGTGCAGGATGTGGGGATCGAAACGGGTATTTGCACCCCTCTCAAGGACAAACGCACTGCTTTAACTACTAGGCCAACACTCCCCTCCCAATAATGCCTCTTCATTTATTCTTCTTTTTTTTAGCCTTAAAAATATGAATTATTTCCTGTTGTAGATTTTTATTTTTCATTATACTTTTTAAAGTTATACTATTTTAAACTATACTAACTATTTTAAAGTTAGTATAGTTCTGATATTTTTCGCCTGTATACATGTGAAATGTCTCTAATCTGTTTTAAATGGATGCATGTGCAAGAAAATATTTAGCCATAAATGTTGGATGCTCTATATCCTATCATGTCTCTCCTTTATTTTGCAGTTCTAATGCATCATTGTAAAACTGATTAGGGGTGCAACTAACTATTATTTTGCAAATCAATTAAGCTGTAGATTTTTTTAAATTAATCAGATAGCCAAAAGTTTCTTAAAGAAGATCTTTGCAGATTTTAACCAGGTGGAACTAAAATGTTTACAATTGAGTCCTGAATAGAGCATATTGATGAAAACATTGTATATTAAATGCTAAATATTATTTTTTTTTTTTTATATATATAATTATCATATAAATACTGCTCTTAGTGGGTTGCTCTGTCAGCTAAAGGCATGTTTTAGAGTCTCTATACTCCAGTTAAAGATTAATCAATTACTCAATTAGTTTACAATTATTTCAATAATTGATTCATCCGATTAAGTGTTTCAGCCGTAAAATTGATAAATTCTTAATCTCTTACAGAAGCGTAAAAGAAGGAATCCTGGCCTGCAGTGCAATGGAAAGAGCAGCCCTAAACGCCAGCGAGGGAGCATGCTTCATCCGACAGGAGAGGCAGAAAAAGATGGAGGACGGGTCCCACTGTGTGGTGTTCAGGAAGAAAGTGACATAGACTTAGATATGGAGCGTTGTATTGTACAGTTCACTGTTGGAGAAGAAGATGGATTTCAGCCTTTGGTCCCATTCTACCCTGGTGGGAAACCTGAAGGCATCATTATCAGTAGCAGGATTAACTCATCGCCCAGGAATAACAGCGCAACCCAAACCAGCCTGTCTGATCCCAGTGAGTACATCAGCTCATGGCAGATACAGGTGCTGGTCATAAAATTAGAATATCATGAAAAAATAGATTGATTTCAGTAATTCCATTTAAAAAGTGAAACTTGTATATTATATTCATACATTACATACAAACTCATATATTTCAGATGTTTATTTTGTTTAATTTTGATGATTACAAATGACAACAAATGAAAATCTCAAATTCATCATATCAGAAAATTAGAATATTACTGAAGACCAATAAAAACAAAGGATTTATAGAAATGTTGGCCAACTGAAAAGTATGAACATGAAAAGTATGAGCATGTACAGCACTCAGTATTTAGTTGGGCCTCCTTTGGCCTGTATTACTGCAGCAATGCGGCGTGGCATGGAGTCGATCAGTCTGTGGCACTGCTCAGGTGTTATGATAGCCCAGGTTGCTCTAATAGTGGCTTTTAGCTCTTCTGAATTGTTGGGTCTGGTGTATTGCATCTTCTTCTTCACAATACCCCATAGATTTTCTATGGGGTTAAGGTCAGGAGAGTTTGCTGGCCAATTAAGAACAGGGATACCATGGTCCTTCAACCAGGTACTGGTAGCTTTGGCACTGTGTGCAGGTGCCAAGTCCTGTTGGAAAATGAAATCTGCATCTCCAAAAAGTTGGTCAGCTGCAGGAAGCATGAAGTGCTCTAAAACTTCCTGGTATGTGGCTGCGTTGACCCTGGACCTCAGAAAACACAAAACACAAAATCATAAAATTAGAATATCATGAAAAAGTAGATTGATTTCAGTAATTCCATTTAAAAAGTGAAACTTGTATATTATATTCATACATTACATACAAACTCATATATTTCAGATGTTTATTTTGTTTAATTTTGATGATTACAAATGACAACAAATGAAAATCTCAAATTCATCATATCAGAAAATTAGAATATTGTGAAAAGGTTCAAAATTGATGGCCCCTGGTGCCACACTCTAATCAGCTAATTAACTCAAACCACCTGCAAAAGCCTTTAAATGGTCTTTCAGTCTAGTTCTATAGGCTACACAATCATGGGGAAGACTGCTGACTTGACAGTTGTCCAAAAGACGACCATCGACACCTTGCACAAGGAGGGCAAGACACAAAAGGTCATCGCTAAAGAGGCTGGCTGTTCACAGAGCTCAGTGTCCAAGCACATTAATAGAGAGGCGAAGGGAAGGAAAAGATGTGGTCGAAAAAAGTGTACAAGCAAGAGAGATAACCGCACCCTGGAGAGGATTGTGAAACAAAACCCATTCAAAAATGTGGGGGAGATTCACAAAGAGTGGACTGCAGCTGGAGTGAGTGCTTCAAGAACCACCACACACAGACGTATGAAAGACATGGGTTTCTGCTGTCGCATTCCTTGTGTCAAGCCACTCTTGAACCACAGACAGCGTCAGAAGCGTCTTGCCTGGGCTAAAGAGAAACAGGACTGGACTGCTGGTGAGTGGTCCAAAGTCATGTTCTCTGATGAAAGTAAATTTTGCATTTCCTTTGGAAATCAAGGTCCCAGAGTCTGGAGGAAAAGAAGAGAGGCACTTCATCCACGTTGCTTGAAGTCCAGTGTAAAGTTTCCACAGTCAGTGATGGTTTGGGGTGCCATGTCATCTGCTGGTGTTGGTCCATTGTGTTTTCTGAGGTCCAGGGTCAACGCAGCCACATACCAGGAAGTTTTAGAGCACTTCATGCTTCCTGCAGCTGACCAACTTTTTGGAGATGCAGATTTCATTTTCCAACAGGACTTGGCACCTGCACACAGTGCCAAAGCTACCAGTACCTGGTTGAAGGACCATGGTATCCCTGTTCTTAATTGGCCAGCAAACTCTCCTGACCTTAACCCCATAGAAAATCTATGGGGTATTGTGAAGAAGAAGATGCAATACACCAGACCCAACAATTCAGAAGAGCTAAAAGCCACTATTAGAGCAACCTGGGCTATCATAACACCTGAGCAGTGCCACAGACTGATCGACTCCATGCCACGCCGCATTGCTGCAGTAATACAGGCCAAAGGAGGCCCAACTAAATACTGAGTGCTGTACATGCTCATACTTTTCATGTTCATACTTTTCAGTTGGCCAACATTTCTATAAATCCTTTGTTTTTATTTGTCTTCAGTAATATTCTAATTTTCTGATATGATGAATTTGAGATTTTCATTTGTTGTCATTTGTAATCATCAAAATTAAACAAAATAAACATCTGAAATATATGAGTTTGTATATAATGTATGAATATAATATACAAGTTTCACTTTTTAAATGGAATTACTGAAATCAATCTATTTTTTCATGATATTCTAATTTTATGACCAGCACCTGTATGTACAAATTATGCAATTTAGCTTCTGCGGCTTATATTCAGGTGCGGCTAATGGTCCGAAAATTACGGTACCTATTTTATTTCTTGCTCCTCAATCAGCTCTTCTTTAGGATTACAGACTTGCCACTGCAGTAAAGATGCCATGGAAGATATACAGGTCTTTCTTGAAATATTAGCGTATTGTGATAAAGTTCATTATTTTCCATAATGTAATGATAATGTAATGATAAAACTTGAACATTTATATATTTTAGATTCATCGCACACTAACTGAAATATTTCAGGTCTTTAATTGACTTAATAATAATGATTTTGGCGTACAGCTCATGAAAACCCACAATTTCTATCTCACAAAATTAGCATAATAAAAGATAAGGGTTCTTAATACAAAAAGAAAAAGTCAACCTCCAAATAATGATGTACAGTTATGCACTCAATACTTGTTCGGGAATCATTTCTCAGAAATGACTGCATCAATGCGGCTTGGCATGGAGGCAATAAGCCTGTGGCACTGCTGAGGTCTTATGGAGGCCCAGGATGCTTTGATAGCAGCCTTTAGCTCATCCACAGTGTTGGGTCTTGTGTCTCAACTTTCTCTTCACAATATCTCACAGATTCTCTATGGGGTTCATGTCAGGAGAGTTGGCAGGCCAATTGAGCGCAGTGATAAAATGGTCTGTAAACCATTTACCAGTGGTTTTGGCACTGTGAGCAGGTGCCAGGTCATGCTGAAAAATAAAATCTTCATCTCCATAAAGCTTTTCAGCAGATGGAAGCATGAAGTTCTCCAAAATCTCCCGATAGCTAGCTGCATTGACCCTGGCCTTGATAAAACACAGTGGACCAACACCAGCAGCTGACATGGCACCCCAGACCATCACCGACTGTGGGTACTTGACACTGGACTTCTGGCACGTTGGCATTTTCTTCTCCCCAGCCGCTGTTTCTGGTTCAAAAGTAGCTTGACCTGGGGAATGCGGCACCTGTAGCCCATTTCCTGCACAGGCCTGTGCATTGTGGCTCTGGATGTTTCTACTCCAGACTCAGTCCACTGCTTCCTCAGGTCCCCCAAGGTCTGGAATCGACCCTTCTCCACAATCTTCCTCAGGGTCCGGTTACCTCTTCTCGTTATGCAGCATTGTCTGCCACACTTTTTCCTTCCCACTGAGGTGCCTTGATACAGCACTCTAGAAACAGCCTATTTGTTCAGAAATATCTTTCTGTGTCATACCCTCTTGCTTGAAGGGGTCAATGATGGCCTTCTGTACAGCAGTCAAGTCGCCAGTCTTACCCATGATTGGGGTTTTGATAAACCAAGAGTTTTAAAGGCCTCAGGAATTTTTTGCAGGTGTTAACCCCTTGAACCCTACGGACCCACCGGCGGGTCCAGCTGCTACGTGACCTCGTAATTTTACCAAACCCCCAGTATTGATGTAAAAAACATATTTGGCACAGTTTGGTGACATTTATGGATAAATGTGCCAAAATGGCCTCTAAGAAATTTCTCACTAATACCATTCTAAAATAAATATGATTCATCTGATTGAGTCCAAATTTGGTATATTTTTACACAACATTTAGATTTGAAAGTCTGTACTACTTTTTTGTGCTATAAATAATATTTTGGTAGTGTTTTGCAATGTTTATTTCAAAGAAAATTTTGGCGAGGTTTAAAAAATGCAAAATATTTTGTATTTTGTCCCTAATATTTCAGGCAGGGTCAAAGCTACAATGGTGCTGACACCAGAAAACCATTCTATGACATCTTACCTTTACAGACGTACCAAAAGTTTCTTCTTAAATCTAATAGCTTTGAGGCTATAAGTTATTTACTTTTGTGTGTTTTTGTCAGGCAGAAATTTATTTATACCCCCTTAGGGTGTAAGAGGCTAAGAGTTGGTTCAGATGATTGTAGCTCATTCAGAGACCTTTTTCATGATATACTAATTTTGTGAGATAGGAATTTTGGGTTTGGGTCAAAATCATCTGTATTAAGACAATAAAAGACCTGAAATATTTCAGATAGTGTGCAATGAATCTAAAATGTATGCATGTTCAAGTTTTATCATTACATTATGGATAACAATGAACTTTATCACAATATGCTAATATTTTGAGAAGGACTTGTAGACCTTTAGGTCAGGAGGTTCAAACTTTTGTCCCCGAGGCCCGAATCCTGCAACTTTAGGCTACGTTCAAGTGTGGTATTTTTCTTTTCTTTTCTTTTTTTCTTAATATTGCGATGTAATACGTTTATTTTTTTTTTCTCCAGCTTAATTCATCATGTTATTTTTAAACAACTACAAAGAATAAATCTGTTTCATAATAATCATTAGATTTATTTAAAGCACAGATTACAAAGATGAAGGAAACAAATTTGTGTCTTTACCTACATTACCTCATTAACATCTTAGGTTTCATGAAGCATGATTTATAAATAGATGGACTGCACTCCTTAAAAAATGCCAGATTTTAACAGGAAAGTCTATAAATAAATTGAATAAGATACAAAAATAAGATTGATCTTCAGTCAGTGGCATCACATATACTAAAGTGCAGGAAAAGTATAGAGAACAAATGTCTTCTGTCTACCAGTAAAATGTTTATAGGTAAATCAAACTCTCAAATGAACACTAAACAAGTGTATGAACTTTAAGTTCTAAGAAACTTTTTGAAGAATTATGAAAACTATATATTGACTCAGTCTGTTGGACTCTGGTATGGCTCTGCTGTGCGGCTTGACCACAAATCATCAGTTGTTGCAAAAATCTCCACTGTTTTTAGCTTCGCTGCACCTCTGTTTCTGCATTTCTTTCTATAGCTCAACTATGGTGATATGGCTAAAATATGTGCATGAGGGCGTAAATACCTCTTATCCATCCTGCTTACCAAAGCTATACACCCAGGCCTGGTCATTATACTAACAGGCATCATGTATTTAGTTATGAACTCCATTATTGCCTGAGTTACTTCAAAGTGCCGTTTAAAATTATGTTCATAAGGAGCAACATTTTCAAACAGTTTGGTCAGTGATCTCTGTCAGCCGGTACTTTGTTTACTTGACGTTGAGGCACTGCTAGTTTTCATTCTAGTCGTGCAAACCATCATACACGGCTTTGCTGTGTTTTCTAGGTGTTGATAAAGGTTCGTCCTCTTGCCTTGTGGGGTAGCAAAATTAGCAAGGCATCTCCTGCACAACACCTGACGTTGTGCAGGCCAAAATAATTTCCTAGAGGTTACATACTGCTCCTCTTTGGTACCAGACCTTCATTTGTGTCAGTTTTTGTCCAGCCTGAGGCCATTGTTTTACAGCTTATTCATAGGCGAATAATGATTTTTATTTTTTTCCCCCCTCTGTGATCCTTGGCTAGCAATTCACGAAGGGGAGTACCTTCTTCATCTACTGCGCATACGCATGCACAGTAGAGGATGAGCTGTATGAATGTAGTTCACATTATAAGTCGCATAATATTTGGAAAGTGAAAGACCATGCAAAATAATTGGATTTCACGGAGAAAAAAAATCTGATTTGAGCATTAAGGTCTGCAGTGTGAACGTAGCCTTAGATGCAACCCTTGCTTCAACACACCTGACTCATGTTTGCTCTTTAGCAGACATTTGTTTCAGGTGGGTAGGGCAAGGGACACGTATAAAGGTTCAGGACACCAGACCCCTGCTTTATGTATTCTCTACTTGTGAGGGAGTAAAATGGTTAAATTCCCAAGGAAATAAATTTAACTAAAACATTTTTCTTTTCTTTCCCCATTTTAGTTGTATTGTCCAGCGATGATGAGGAAAACCGTGAAGATCCTGAATGTCGGCACAGATTGGGGCAGAATAAGGCCTCACTGTTTGACACGTCAATCCATAGAAATGCCTCAGAGGAAGAGGAGTCCCAACAGGAGATGACATCAGACACAGAGGATGTGCAGGTCGGTCCATTGTCAGCCATACATTCCTGTGTTTCAATGCCGACGGGTTTCTAAACTCCGCTTGGTTGATGCAAAATTTTTGGATAAGCGTGTTCAGCCTTTATAACAAAGGTTGGTATTAGGGATAAATCTCAAAACTTTTAGTTGGGTGGAAAAGGCAGAAGTATAAAACCGTGTTTTCCATCATACTTCCTGCAGAAAATCAAAGCAGATGAAGGAACTGCTTTGAGCGTTTAGTCTCTGCATTAAAATGAATTTGTAAAGTTGTTTAAATGGCTGAAGGGCACCCATCGAGTTTCCTAGTAACCATGACGACGATGCCATTGGTTCGTTACGGAGAGGCTTTATCAACACACCTCGGGTACATTTTTTTTACAGCCAACTAGACTTTTTAAACGTTATGATTGACTCAGTTTTCCTCCATGTTTGGAGTCAAAATGAAAGATGTATAAAAAAAAAATGTTGACAAAGGAGAAAAATGTTGAATGCCTTTAGGATGATGGTGGGTAGCTTTTGAGAAAGCTGTTTAAATTTAGCCCTTGAAGGACTGTTTTGTAGTCTTTCCATCTGTGGCCCGCCACAGCCCCTCCCCCCATCTCTGGCTCCCTATCTGTCCGGGATGCTTTTCCGGTCTACAGCGGTTCTCCTCTGCTCCCCTCCTGAGCTAGCTCCGGAAAACCTCCGCCTTCCGTCTGCTTTTGCTCGCCTTGAAATCTGCCTGGCCAGCGGGAGCAATTCATACGGCCGGTGGAAGGATCCAATAAGGACAACCGAGGGAGGGTGAGACGGTGTTCTGGAACCAAGACAGGAGCAGCAGTGAACAGTGGATACTTCAGCCGGCCATTGATAAGATGTTTAGTTTATTTCTGTTTGCAGTTATCCACTACCGTGCGGTGGAATGATAACGGGCCACAAATAGTCCCATCTGTATTAAGGTCTGACAGCTCTGGGATGTTTTAAAATTTAGTCTAACGAAAAAAACACAGTTTTTCTGGTTTAAAAACCTTTGATTCTTTGAGGCGCTGTACCCAAACTATTTTTTTCTCCGGTAAGTTACCGGCCGTTAGTCCTAGCAGGTGACTGTAAGACACAGTTACTGATGGTGAACGTCTCACAGCAATTCATGTCCAAATACCTGAACCAACTCTTCAAATCATAAAAGCTCAAACTCAAACATTGGGTTTGTTGATCTTTTAGTTTATATTAAATAGATGGAGCCACTTTTCATTTTATTGGCAATTTTTTGTGCTTTTTAACTTGTTGTTGTGGATTTGAAAAGTTGCGTGGCTTCTTAAATATTCAAACATTTGCACTTTAATGCAACGTTCATTTTATACATCTTGAGTTTTTCTATTAAAGAATGTACGCACTGAAGGCAAAAGTATTTATATTTTTAAATTCCTTATATTTTGTTAATTGTAAGACTGGAGGAAAAAAAAAACGTTTCTCAGTATTTGAGCTGCTGATCACCGATCAAATCCAATTAAGAAATTTTTTCCCCTAAAAAGATCAGGACGATTGGTGCAACTTCAAACATTTTTTATGGTACGGTTAAAATAGTTTCAGTCACTTTCCCTATCATAACAAAGTGTTGTATTAAAATGTTTGAATCATACAGAATTGCCTTTGCAGCGATGGATTAGACATCACTGTCGCTTTATTCAGGATATGATTTTTCAGAGGTCTTTGTAACTTGACCTCAGGAAGTAACTCAAAGTGTCATTTGTGTTTTTACCACTAGATGGTGCTAAAGTAGTAAACAAAATGAAGTCGTTTTGGAAAACATCAGTGTGAATAATGCAAACCTAAATCAGCTGTTTGTACCTCTCGATATTGATAAGATCTCAGGCTGTTGTGAAATTAGTATTTTGACCAACATTGTTTTTTGTTTTTCAGGGAATGCAGATGCTCGTTGAAGAGTTTCCACATTCAGCACCGTCCTCTCCCATCCCCGAGTTTGACTTTCCCTCTTTGAGTGTACATTTCGTGGCCATGTACTGTGGATGTTACAAACTGAGAGCAGATGGATGCCTCATGGTAAATGCACTGGTATAACCTTTATAGGTTTTATTCTAGGCATCTGTCTTAAAAGAAATATTTAACTCTTTCTTGTCCTTCACAGATAGCAAAAAATAAGATTGTCATCCCACTTAAAGGTAACTATTATTCATTTATGCATATAAGCCATTATGCAATCAGTAATCTTATTTAATTCATGACCAAAGCCTGGAATCCTTTGGTTGAATCCCGAGCAGAAGATGCGCCTTAAGCTTGTTGGATTGTATTTTTTGTTTCTTTAGATATAGGGTTTACCTGGAACCTTTGGTCCCAATAGTTTCAACTGGTGGTTCCTTTACTGCTGGTAAAGGAACCCTTTTAAAAAAAAAAAAAATCTTGTTCTAATCTAGCTTTCTACCATCTTTCTGTAGCTTAGTGGTCTGTTTTAGATGAATGTAGTTGGATTAAAGCTTCAAGGTTCCATCTGCACCTTATCCTCTAGGCCTTTTTTTCTTTTTTACTTTAGTTTAATTTAGCCTTAAATGGAAACAAATAAATTGCCCAGTGATAGCTGTAATTTGAAACAAAGATTCGATGTCGGTATGTTGCACCTTGTGGGATCACAGGCGACTCAATGGAATTCACCATGACTAGTTATTTTAGTTATTCATTCATAGTGCTTGCATATGTTTTGATAATGGATCTACTATGACCTGTCTAGGATTTGATTATTATAAAGGGGGAGCTGCATATCTGATTTTTTTTTTAATTTTTATCCCACAGTCGTATGAAATCCTCTGAATTATTGAAACTTCAGCAAGGAGGAACAGCAAATTGTCTCTCCAGCTGCTCTTGTGTGGCTCTGACTGAGGTAGACTGCTGGTCTATTTTAGTTGGACCTGTGCAACAATGTGACAGGAACATCATGACTCAGGAAGGGAGAGTAAAACATCCGCTTTGAGAAAGATGCAAAGTAAAATCCTTCTAAAAGAGATTTCAGTTCTCCATGGATTTCTTTTCTAGTGAAATAAAGGTCAAATAAAAAGCAAGTAACAAGCAGGGCAGACTTGGAAATGTACAATAAATGAAATATTTCAATAAACTGTGTCTATTTTATCCTTAGGAGCACAGAAACCGGAATAAAAACAAATGAAAAAAGTTTTACTAATTGAGCTTAAAACCCCCCAAAATGTCTGAGAATGATCCTAACGAGGCAGATTACAGGACAATGACTGCTTTCTCATATCGGCTCCTTTTTTATTCCTGCTTTACATTGTGATCACCTTCAGGATGAAATGAATAATGTTGGTAAACTTCACACAAAGCTTTTGGAGGATCGCCTCTCACTGCCTCTCCCAGGTTTTCTTTTCCACGCCATTTTTTTGTGGCTCCATTCTTTTATCTTTAAATGTAGTTTCTTTTGTATTTGTCGGGATGTCAGGAGGCGATACTAATAACGGATATCAGTTCGATATAGCCAAAAAAAACAGATTTTATCAGTTGACATCTAAAGTCTCCGATATTTCATGCTAATAGAAATACTCTGCTGTTTTAAGTTTCTGTAACTCATTGGTTAATATTACACGGGTCGGTTGTTTTCATACCTTTTGTTGCTGTAAAAAAAAAAAGATACCGGTAAGTAATATTTTAGCTGCCCGTCACACAGCTGTTTCCTACATTAAAGGTATTGTGGAGGATTTTTGCATTTTTTTTTAAAAGACCAGCCAAAATGCGCATGTGACAGCACGCCCAAGCCCATTCGTCCTGTGTTTAAAACTTGCTGTTCTCATAGCTTATATAAGATAACTGTTTCCGAACGTCCGCCCTAAATCCCTCAATCACTATATAGAGTGGGGACTGTGTAGTGGACTTTATTGCGAACTCGGTTATTTTACTGTACGGACAGATGATCACTGCTCTTTGCTCCATCGGCCACGTAACTCCTCCTCCACTGCGCGGTGCCTGCGCCATCTGTGTTATTAGTTGCTGCTGTCGGGTGGCGACAGCCTATGGGGGCATCGAATCGCATAATGCTTTGCGAGGAGAGCTTTCTGTACGAAGCATTCCGGGATATTCCTGCCTTTCTTGTCTTCTCATACACTGTGAAAATGGCCAAAAGTTGTAAGAGTCTACAAAGAACCTCGGTGAGCTTCAATGACTGAAACCGTAGCAGATATACGCCTGAAAGTGCGCATGCACAGAAAAATATAGCTAACTGGACGAGCACATAGGATGGCCTTACGTACACATCATCTGAATGATTGACAATTAGGAGGACCACTTATTTAGATGATCCACCCGAAAATAAAAGATCGTCCTCGATACCTTTAAGATTTGAATCTTAGCACAGTATGCACAGCAGGTCATATGACTGTGAGGGGCTGACAGAATCACAGCCCAACAATCAGCATGTTTCAGGACGTGATACTGATGGGTTTTTAAGTTGTATCCTAGCATCAAGTTTGGTCACCCCTACATAACAGTCATCACAGGCCTTTAAAAATCCTGGCCTTAAAGCCTGAAGGTCCTTTAAATTTGCCAAAAGTTGGGAAATAATCCAATTTGTTTCAAGATATTTTAAACTGGGGTTAAAATTCATGAATTTACCCTGATCCCTTCTTATCCTCAGGCACGAGCGAGCAGGGGTTTTTGACTTTTGTGCGCACAGATCTGCGGAGGTACAGTGTTTGGGACAAGCAGGAGCTGGAAGCTCATCACATTCGCTTTGAGGGGGAAAAGGATCCTTTACCACCTGGCGTCCTGCTGTTATACGTGTCAGAAACTGCTGCTGGTCCTATACAGCAGGTACTGAACCAGCTCTGCGACAGTGAAGATGGACCCGTAGATAATGGTGAGAGCGCAGGGCGGACACAAATGTGTTTAAATTCATATCCTCTTTTACATTTACATTGTTGTGTAAATATTTATGATTCTTTTTTGTTTCAAATGTTCAAATATATATGATTTTTTTTTCTTTTTTTTAGTTTAAATATGTTTCTTTTATCTTAAAGGAAAAGCCAGCCGTTTCATCTTACTGACTCTCAAAGATCCTGTGGAGGGAATGGAGGGAGCTTTACTGCGCTCCTTACTGGACATCGACTGCATCAACGGAATGACATATGACAACCGCTTTAAAAACAATGATGGGGTCCAACCTAATAGTTTATTGGATTCTGATTCTCCAGTGCTTTCAATGGATGATAGCATAAAGCTGATCAGAAACATTGGAGCCGACTCTTATCTGCTCTCCATACTCTGCATGAAGAGCCCTGACTCTGACCTGATTGTAGAAAAGGAGCCTTCAGAGTGTGATGAAGAAGATCTCCCCACTGCCCACATCTGGGTGGATACTAATGTTGAGAAAGACACAGAGATAACTCTTGAGAAAAAAACAGAAGATGGAGCCGCTGAAGCTGAACGAAATATGGATAAGGAGGATGAGGAACCCAAGACTCCCTCTGATGTGAGTGATTCCCTACAAACTTTTCTTTGTCACTTTTTTTACACAATTTTTGGGAGATGCATGTACCTCCTAGACATGATTTGGTATGAAATTATGGAACCACACCAAGTGGAAGTATTGTGTTTAAACAAATATATACCCTAATTGAAAAGCAGCAATTATTTCAACTGCTGGTAAACATTCATGCGGGCAAATATTGATTATTAAATAAGTCTACTACATGCTAAAATATCTAGCCTGCAAGCAAAAAGCATAAAGCATGTGGGATTTGAATCTGTTGCTTTTGCAAAAGGTATAATTTCATCACAGTAATTTGTCATTGCCTTTATTAGCTGCATGATGACCTCCTGTAAAGCTGAACAAAGTGTCAATAATTTAGCTTCTTTGTTTCTGTTCCAATAGTTTGTGTCCCAATAATACTTCCATCCTCCTACTTTATGCATTCAGACGCCGTTTTGTGTTGCGTTCATCGAGGGAATGGTTGGGGGAGGTTATGAACAGTCTGGGCCTCATTGAAAATGGCTACATTCACACTACAGACCAATTCGGGCCAAATCGCATGAAATCTGATCTTTTCAAATCCAGTCTGGGCCACATTTGTATGTGGTTTTAAATTCAATACAGGTCAAATCTTTTGGAATCTGACTGCAATCTGAACAGCCAAGTGACCCATATCGGATTTAGCATGTAGCTGATGTCACTCTGTGCTGACAGTGGGGAACAAAAACAGTTACAGAAAAAACACTGCGTAGATAGAGATGTACACTGGAGGGAGAATGATATTGGTATCTGGATGTATATAATGGTCCAAAAGAGACTGAGGGGGTCATACTCTAACAGGTCAGTTGATTATGTCGGTGCTCCCATGCATTTCTCCTAAGATGTTATGGCCACTGCTCCTCCAAAACCTATAATAAATATTTCCGCTTTTTCTCTGTTCTCTCCTTCTGAGCATTGCTGCGTCATCCGACTACTTGCTTTGCTTAACAGCTTTAAATCCATCCATAAACATCGACTTCTCTCACCTCTGTTTTTTTTCTACGCATGCAGGTCACTTCAGGGACACAATTTGATACGGTCATGTGAGAAGCCACCCAAAAAAAACTGACAAATCGGAATAGAGCCTTAAGACCTGCAGTTTGAACATAGCTATAGTCTCCCTCTGATCCTAAATGAAAGCCAGATCGACATTTTGTTGTCAAACCAAAGCATACTACCATTTTTATGTGAAATCTTCCGTATTCCTAGCATAACACATTGATTTCATAATTGAGACATACTACATAAAAACCTGATAACCAGAAATGATTAAAACGTGCGTTTTTACTCCATTACGGCATGTTGGTACAAAGTTGCCAGTAATACGTCAAGTTCCCTGTTATAAAATGAAAAAGAACATTTCAGTGGTTTAGTTTCACTTTAATCCCAAGGTGGTGTTCAGTTTGAGTATCTTGGAATAGATAAGTGTTTCCTTTGCATGGTTCATTTTATAAGGAATCGGTTTGAGGGATGTTTTTCTTTCTTTGTTTTTTTGTGATACATTTTAAAAGCTCTTGTAGTTAAACTGAACATCAGGATTGGTGCCTTTGATGACAAAGGATTTATGCTATAAAGTTTCTGAAACCTGATTTATATCTTCAAAAAGGAAATCGCAAAAATATGAATCACCATGTCTACCTGATGAAATGATTTCTCTCTTATTAATTTGATATTTGAATGGTTGAAATGAGGCAAAACTGCAAAAAAGTTGTAAGATGTCAAATATAGGATAAATCGAAGGTCAGAAAAAAAAGGCTGGTCTTTGAGATGAATCCTGCATGTTTTAGATGTTTTCCTGGTTCAGTAATAGAAGACTTGTTTTCTTTTTTGTTGATTATTAATTATATTGAAACATCTTGGTTTTTAGTGCCCTCAGTTTAAGGTGCTGAACAGAAGATTGAAAACCTTTAATTGGTTACATTTACTCCCACAGAGCAAAAAGGAGGAAGTCGTGCCTGTTTATACGGTTTGTCATCAAAGAAGAAAAGGATCCTACTCTGTGTCTCTTTGTAAACCAGACTCCAACTGGATAAAATATAAGCATGAGGGTCTGAGTAAAAGGTAAGAATTGTTCAGAGGAGGGTAGAGTACCCAATAATCATATTAATTTTCTGAAGTAAAAGTTATTAAGGAAATAACGAGTAGTGATGCAAACAAATTATTATTATGTTAACTGTTCCCTCTCATTAAATGTTAAAATCTCCTCCTTCCAGTGTTGAATTGTGGTCTCTAACCAGAAGAGGGTACCGCTGTTCTTCCTTAAGCTTGACGAAGGTTGAAAGTGAAATAATTCTGCCTAAGGCATGGTAGAACAGAAAAGGGAAACGATCCAAACATTCAGAATTATTATAATGCAGAATAATTCTATACAGTTCTGTTTGTAAATGAAAACAAGGAAACTCCTCCATGCAGCCTTATGATTGAGCAGCATCTACTTCCCAACCAGAAAGGGCTAATGTGCGAGGAGGATGAGTGTGCGATAAAGAGTGGAAGACATTTCGTAAAACATTTGTATCGTAATAGAAAGACACGAAACCAATAGGGTTGATTGGGTGGGCTTTAGTGAGCTAAAGGTATTATGCAAAATTCACACTAGAAACATTCTGTAACATAAAGCGTGTATGAGGTTGACAAATGAAGAAAAACCTTTTGACCTCCATCATTGCCTTTCTCCACTTCTTGGCTAATGTGTGCTCTGTTTGAAATGCTTTCCCCTTATGATGTCATAAGAGAAGCTGAGTTATCCAGAGTGACCTGTAGCAGGTCACAGGCCAGGCTATAGCCTTCATTTAATGTTATTCTGGCTCCTAGCTGCTTTCTTTATGCATTCTGACTGGTTGTCATGGTTTCAGGGTATGGGGGGGAGTGGAAAGCCAAAACAGCTTGTTGAGAAAAGTGCTAAAGGAGGAGATTCCTGGTGCATGCGGTCTGCCTAATGGGAGGAGAATTTTCATGCACAAGCAACAAAAACCTGCTCCTGGGGCCTCATGGTTAAAAAGTTTCCTTTTTAAATGTTGCATAATATGACCTTTAATGACACAAGAGATTTTTATCCATTAGAGAGCAGTGCTAGTGTACAGCAACCTTGCTTCTTTAATTTTCCCCAGGGCAGCTGTGGCTACATTGTAGAAAAGGCAAATATAAGTGCAGGCCAGTTATTGGTCATTCGATAAGACAGTCAACCTTTGATTAACTCAATAATCAATGCCTTGCATCCGTACGTGTAAGAGCAAAAAGTACTGAGTTATTACTTGATCATTTAACATTTGATTTATTGTTTATAAATATTTGAATTGGTAGCGGTGTCCCAATACTTTGTTCATGTCTTATATGATTTTAATATTGCTCCATTAAGTATTGACCTGATATGATGGCAGCATGAATCATACGCTCTTCCAATACCTATTTTGTAATACTGAATGTCAGAAAAGGTTTGTAGTGATTTTATTCAGAGTCGGTTGTGAACAATACCTATGAAAACACCCGACCCATTAATTATTAATCAATGGCTACATATAAAGTAGGTGCATTAGAAGACCCAAACAAATTTTGCACATTTGTTGGACTTGTAGCTTGTAGTCCAGTGAGTTGGTAGACTGTGTGTGGGATAAAAGCGCAGCTGGATAGAAATGCTGGAGATGACTAAACAATGGAGTGGTTCTATCATGCTCATCTAAGTTATTAGTGGACGCTCATATAATCTGATAAGTGTCTTTTGCAGAAATTGGACCAATTTCTAATATTGATATTAGATTGGCACACTCCTACTGACTTTTTCTTTTTTGCGCAAATTGTGGTACACTGAAATAGGGAAAAAAAGTAACACAATCACAAATAAGGTAGAATAAACACTTCATCACAAACATGATACAATAAGTTCTTCCAGTAGGTACATTTTAGAGCGCAGTGAAAAATTCCTGCTGACAATATCTGCTTTAAATCGAATAATACTTTAATAATCCCAAAGGGGTGTTAAGTAGTTCCCCTGATCTCTGAATAGTTTAGGTTACTTGTTTTAGTTATGTTAGAATAGCACGATTTTAAAAGAATAAAAATGTGGTAGTTTATTTATTTGATTTTTTTTAACCTTTTTTCTTTAAAAACGTTACTGTAATAAATGCACCTAGTTAATACTAACCTCTGGAAGTGACCTACCCACATTATCCCTCCTGGTTGGAGATGGTCTTTCAAACCAGGATCCCTGCTGCCGTTTTCTGAATGTAGACCATATATCTGTAATATGCAGTTGTAAAACACCCTATATGACCTTTTCCATTGTTTATCTCAGGTTAATACAGTTTCCTCCACCACCTTTGAAAGGAGGAATCACAGTAACAATGGAAGATCTGCAATGCCTTGACAGTTGGCAGTACCTTAACGATGTCATTATCGATTTTTACCTGAAGTAAGTCCCTCCATTTCAATATTTGACCTTTTAAGCGACTTTCCCCATTTTTCTCTGTTTTTGTTATTTTTGTGAAGAGAATTTAATTCGAATGACTCGTGATATTTTTATCTAAACAGATACCTCATCCAGAAATCCTCCGCTGCCATTTCTAAACGCTCCCACATCTTCAGCAGCTTCTTCTACAAGCAGCTGACGCGCAGGGACAACGCCAGCGAAGGAGGCAGTACCGACTCGTAAGTGAAGCAGCTTTGGTCTGAACGGCTGGTTCTCATGTCAGGGAAACCAACTTGGTTTGGGAGATTAGGACAACACTCTGCCTCTGGAAGACATTGGAAAACTCAGAGTATTTTGCCTTTAATAATCTCAAAGTTTGCCCTGTGGTTTCATTCAGCGTCCTTTATAAATTAACTGCAACTTTTTTCTATAATTCAGCGGTTTAGAATGTGTAGGAATTTTGAATTAGGAAGTTTAAATGGGTAATCTAAGACATTATATTTCTGTGGGGCATGAACAGTGAAAAATCTAGATTAGTGTAAAAAAAACCTCATAGCTGTTATAAAGTATAATGTTAATCTGGGGTCAGGTGGGCCTGTCTAGCTGCACCTGTCTGTATGATGTCTCCCAAAAAAAAGTCATTGGATCATATCGGAATACTAAGGCTAAATACTATAGCTAGATCAGCTCAGACATGTTTCACATCAACCCCACTGCATGGCCACCCTCCCTTAACGGCTGGTGAGCCATTAAAGGCCAGAACCAACCAAATCCGATTTTGCATCCAATCTGACAGAAAATCGTGTCGGACGAGGTTGTGGCATTTAGCGTTCGTTGAAAGTCAGTTTTGAATTTGATGTTTTGCTCTCTAACCAAATTTTTCTGTTTTTCTTTCAAACAAAGACATTTAAAGGCTGTCGCTCATAAATAGCCAAGTTTTCTTTAATCTGTTTATGGTCTCAGTTGTCAGAGGCAGAGGCGGCACCAGCGAGTAAAGACGTGGACGCGACACGTGGACATCTTTGAAAAGGACTTCCTGTTTGTGCCTGTTAATCAAGAGTAAGCAGAGTTTTGAGAATCAACTGTTTTACGGCCACGTATATCAAATCCTAAACCCTTTTACTTCTCCCTCTGTGCAGAGCTCACTGGTATTTAGCTATGATTTGCTTTCCTGGACTGGAAGAGCCTCTGCAGGAGGACTGGCTGGGAGAGTCTCAGGGTCCAGATGAGGCCAAAGAATGTAAAAGTTCTGATCCTGCAGAAACCCTGGAGCGATTAGACCCGAGTGACGGTGTGAACACAGAGACGGGTAGGAATAGCACCATCAGGATTATTATGACCAGGACAATAATGGCTGAATTAAGATGGATGTTTTGTATTTTAGAAAATCATCTGGATGAGTCGACTAAAGATCCGCCACCACCATGTCGAGTTGTAAGAGCTGCTATTATTATGCTTCACAGGTTTATTAATTCCTACAATTCTTGATGATTTTCATAATTCAGTCAGTAACAATCTCCCTTTTTCCAACAGAGTTGCACAGAACAGACGTGTCGGAGACGGACAGTCTGCAAAAGGTGAGTTTCCCTTACTTATACTTCAGCTTACAGGCATTGTTATAGCTTATTGTTATCTTTTTTACACTACAGCTACAATTTTTTTTTCTCGTGTTTGTCAAACGTTGCTTGTAATTTTAAACTTTCTTAGGTTTGATCTACATGAGTGATCAATAGTGCTACTTAGATTAGCTCACTAGCTTTGTCAGGTTGATGAAAACATGATGCAAATTTCCTTTAAAGGTAATTGTCTAAAAGTATTGAACCCTGACTTGAACAGTTTTATTTGCACTCTAAAGCCATTACCAAGAGGAACCCCCTGATATATACTTGATAAGGATGCAGATTGCTCTCTCTCCTTTAGGCCGTGTATTCTTATCATGGATTCCCTCAAGCTCTCTTCTCATGAGCGGATCTGCAAACTGTTACGGGAGTAAGTTGACCATTTAAAACTGAGTGATGCCATTCAGGCACTGTGAGTAGGCAGGTAAGGGAAATGAACAAATACCCACAAATGGAAACCATGAAGACCTGCAGCAAGGAGGAGCCTCTTATGGTCACCAAGTCTACAAAACCACCGTTAGAATCAAAATACCTCAAATGGTGTTGGATACATGAGAGGAACAAGACTATTCTGCTATCAAAGGCGTAAACTTCAACCATGCAGACTTCTTGGAGTGATAGGATCATATTTAACAAACAGACCGGTATGCTCCAGGATAATGAAAGGATTGAATTTTTCATGCCTACTTTTGATGGCGAGATCATTGATGCTCCAGTTTATTCTTCCTCACTGCTAGGCACCATCAGCTCCGGGCAGTTCTTTTAAAACAAGGCTGTTTTAAACATCTGAGCTCTTTTAGAACGCTAAAGAACATCTGAGTCTTTCAGCAAGAAAATGATAGAAAACAGATGGCCAGATAAAAGGAGACGTATTTAGCGCTGACAATTTATTTTGTTTTCTGCTGAATTTATCTTCTAAAAGTTGGAAACTTTTTTACAATATTCAGTAGTTTTACAAATCCTCCCCTGGAGTTTCAGGGTATGTTTCTGCTGTGGTTTATTTTAATGCATTTTAAGATGATCTGTGTGTTTTTTTTCCCCGCAGGTATCTGCAGTCAGAGTGGGAGGTCCGTCGAGGATCATCGAGGGAATTTGGTCCTGATCAGCTGAAAAGCTCCCATTGTATAGTTCCCCTCCAGGATAACAGCAGTGACTGTGGCCTTTACCTTCTTCAATATGTTGAGTGTTTTTTAAAGGTAAAGGCCTTTTTTTTATTAAATTGGTTTTTATAAAAAACTTTTAACAGGATTTTATTTCAGATGGGCTCATAAACTACTTTGTTGCTCTGCTGCAGGACCCTGTGGTGCACTTCGATTTACCTCTTCAGCTACAAAAATGGTTCCCACGCCAAGTGGTTCGGAAAAAACGGGACGAGATCAGAGATTTGATCCTTAACCTTTACCGGCTTCAGAACGTGGACAGCAAAAAGACATGAAGAAACGCCGCTGCACAGTGCATCACATTCCTGCCTCCATTATAAAGCATTGCTCATACTGAGCTAAAGACCTTTTATTTCAGTGTAAACTGGAAAAAACTTCTTTTAGATATGATTTCAAGTCCCTGCGTTTAACCACACCCATAATGATTGGTGAGAAAAAATCAGAACGTCTAAACATCCGGCTTAAATAAGAGTTTGAATCTTTGAAACTGTTTTTGAAATGTTGTTTAGGTGTTTCAATTTTTATTCAAAGTCGCATCCTGATATCAGTCTGACCTCTGAGAATGAGACAAAGGTAACATGTAGCTTGTGAAGGAACATTGTGAGCACTTGCAAGTTTACCTGCTTTGCTTTCGTTTGTTAGACTTGTTTTCCAGTTAAAGGTGTTCTCTGTGTTGTAATAATTTAAACTGAAACCTCAGGAGGAAAACGCAGAGGGGAAAAGATGAAGCCAGCTGTCATCTCGCTGCCTCAAAGCAAGACACTCGTTCTGCACACCTGTCTTCTGCGAGCCAGTGCTGAGCACACAGACGTTCATTCACTGAGACTAAAAGTTACCAAATTAGTGCTTGGAAAATTTCATGAGATCAACACTTTATTTTCTTTTTATTTTACACTTATCCCTAGCTTCCATTTTTTATTTAGTAGAGTTTAAAATATATATATTTCTGTGAGGACATTTGTATTGATGAAGTGGCTGAATAGTGATCAGATTTCTTTTCATTCACTAAAGTTCAACTGCTTTTTAGAAAGGAGCTGTTCAGTACTGTTTGTTTCTTCTGTTTTGAAAAATTAACATAATACTCCTGTTGTTTGTTTGTTTTTCCTATTTGCTTGTTGGTATTTATTTTTTGTTTAACACAGATCATCTCTTATAGAAAAGTTTTTTTTTTTTTTATAATCTGGAGTTGATTGCAGAATGCTGTTTCTGTTGTGCATTAAAACATTTTGATAAATCAAATTTTTTTTTTAACTAGCAGTTGTGGTGGAAAGTTTAGTCAAACCCACAGACTATGGAGTTTATTTCTAGACAGACATTCTTTTCCTTATTGGCTTTTCCAAGTTTAGTTAAAATACTTTTTTTTTTTTTAAACATACTTTCATTCTTTTACCTCTTTAAGTCAAAACATAAGTCCTCTACAGTGGTCATCAGTATAATGTGACACTTGTCACATTATACTGATGAAATATGATATATTATACTTAATGAAATATATATATTTACAACCCTTCAGATACGAAGTAATGTACAGAGTCTTGGAAAGGTACTAATTCTCCCCTGCCAATATTTTGTCATGTTAAAATTACAAAGTTGGACATGTTATTAAGATCTTTTCTTAAAGACAAGGGTTTGTTAACCATGCTTCTCCGACAAGTCGTACATTTTAATGAGTCCAGCTCTTTGGAAGAGTAGTGATAATTTTGAAATGTAAGGAAATCACCTTTATAGTTGACTTTGTATGTTAGATAACCATTTGTTTACAATTAAATCACCATGTCATATAATGCGTGCTGTTAACGCTTATTTACCCTTGGTTTTACTAGCGCTCCATAAGTCAGTTTCTCCTAGTGCCTTTTGATAGCGACGAAAATAGAAAACTTTCTTTTCAATCTCCCAAAATATTTTCTTTTGACTATGATGGTCGTCACTCTTCCATGTTGATTGCCTTTTTCTTGTCATTTTTTTGCAGGCAGCAATACACTTCAGTTTTTATGCAGACAGTAGCACCACTTTCATTGGTGCAGAATAGCTTTTAATTATTAACACTCTTTGAATTTACCTGATAATTCTAAAATTCTTATATTGTTCAGTTTTGGGTGACCTTTAACCTTCAGCATTTACATTTGTAGCATTTAAAGCAATTCTTTGATATTGAACAACTTCAATAGAAATAATTATAAAAACTTGGGATGTTAATAAGGTAATTTTATTAAGGATTCCCATTAGCTGTTGCCATGGCAAACGGCTAGTCTTCCCCGGGTCCAGGTGTTTTAAAGTATTAGACCGGAAGTGTATATTTTTGTTTGTATATACAGGTGCTGGTCATAAAATTAGAATATCATGAAAAAGTAGATTGATTTCAGTAATTCCATTTAAAAAGTGAAACTTGTATATTATATTCATACATTACATACAAACTCATATATTTCAGATGTTTATTTTGTTTAATTTTGATGATTACAAATGGCAACAAATGAAAATCTCAAATTCATCATATCAGAAAATTAGAATATTACTGAAGACCAATAAAAACAAAGGATTTATAGAAATGTTGGCCAACTGAAAAGTATGAACATGAAAAGTATGAGCATGTACAGCACTCAGTATTTAGTTGGGCCTCCTTTGGCCTGTATTACTGCAGCAATGCGGCGTGGCATGGAGTCGATCAGTCTGTGGCACTGCTCAGGTGTTATGATAGCCCAGGTTGCTCTAATAGTGGCTTTTAGCTCTTCTGAATTGTTGGGTCTGGTGTATTGCATCTTCTTCTTCACAATACCCCATAGATTTTCTATGGGGTTAAGGTCAGGAGAGTTTGCTGGCCAATTAAGAACAGGGATACCATGGTCCTTCAACCAGGTACTGGTAGCTTTGGCACTGTGTGCAGGTGCCAAGTCCTGTTGGAAAATGAAATCTGCATCTCCAAAAAGTTGGTCAGCTGCAGGAAGCATGAAGTGCTCTAAAACTTCCTGGTATGTGGCTGCGTTGACCCTGGACCTCAGAAAACACAATGGACCAACACCAGCAGATGACATGGCACCCCAAACCATCACTGACTGTGGAAACTTTACACTGGACTTCAAGCAACGTGGATGAAGTGCCTCTCTTCTTTTCCTCCAGACTCTGGGACCTTGATTTCCAAAGGAAATGCAAAATTTACTTTCATCAGAGAACATGACTTTGGACCACTCACCAGCAGTCCAGTCCTGTTTCTCTTTAGCCCAGGCAAGACGCTTCTGACGCTGTCTGTGGTTCAAGAGTGGCTTGACACAAGGAATGCGACAGCAGAAACCCATGTCTTTCATACGTCTGTGTGTGGTGGTTCTTGAAGCACTCACTCCAGCTGCAGTCCACTCTTTGTGAATCTCCCCCACATTTTTGAATGGGTTTTGTTTCACAATCCTCTCCAGGGTGCGGTTATCTCTCTTGCTTGTACACTTTTTTCGACCACATCTTTTCCTTCCCTTCGCCTCTCTATTAATGTGCTTGGACATTGAGCTCTGTGAACAGCCAGCCTCTTTAGCGATGACCTTTTGTGTCTTGCCCTCCTTGTGCAAGGTGTCGATGGTCGTCTTTTGGACAACTGTCAAGTCAGCAGTCTTCCCCATGATTGTGTAGCCTATAGAACTAGACTGAAAGACCATTTAAAGGCTTTTGCAGGTGGTTTGAGTTAATTAGCTGATTAGAGTGTGGCACCAGGGGCCATCAATTTTGAACCTTTTCACAATATTCTAATTTTCTGATATGATGAATTTGAGATTTTCATTTGTTGTCATTTGTAATCATCAAAATTAAACAAAATAAACATCTGAAATATATGAGTTTGTAATGTATGAATATAATATACAAGTTTCACTTTTTAAATGGAATTACTGAAATCAATCTACTTTTCATGATATTCTAATTTTATGACCAGCACCTGTATAATCATTCATCTGTATTAGAGGAAATCCTGAAGAAATGTAAGGTTTTATGTTAATTATTGAAGACATTACTGTAGGTATAATGCACATGCCTTCCCAGTCTGTATTCTGCTCATTTGCCTTTCTTTTTAAAATGGCACTGTTACCTAAAACCAAGAAGGGACAAATCTGTTTTACAAAAGGATATGATTTGCAATAAGAGTGATTTTATTTTCAGTGTGCCTCTTTACAAATGAAAGGTTTTTGTTTTTCAGATTAATGATGCTGTACCATTTAGATGAACATTTAATGGACTTGTTTTTCTTCCATAGTTTAAGCTCAGTGGCTGATAAACACATCCTTCAGTCATAACCCTCCTCTCTAAAGTATCCCTCAGCTTTCTGCTGTGGTTCTCGCTTTCCCTTCAGTCACAGCCTTGCTCCAGTAACTTCTTACCAAGTTCTTCTAACAGGCTTAAAAACAACAGGATTAGAGAGAATTAAAAAATCCCCCTCTCTCCCCAGGCCATCTGCCTGTCCACCTGAGCCTGGGGCTAGACCATGATGCACACTGACACCTTTCAGCTGCATAGTGAACCAGGGACAAATTCTTTCTTTGTTTTGGGTGTGAAGATATTTAAACTATGCAAAGTCGTAAGCTGCTCTGTCATCAGCTGAGAGGAAAGATATGTCTGCTTGATCCTTTTCCGAGTCAACGGATTTGAACCCAAGCTCGGATTTAAAATGAGCAGCCTTTCCTGGAGACGTGTTTTCTGCTTTGCTCTCTTTAGTCTGGTCATAATTTTGGGCAGACTCACAGGTAAGAGATCAATAGTGACCAAAATGTTCAGTCTTATTCAAAGTATTTATCAGCAGTGCAGAGAAATGCCTGATTTCTGACATTTCTTACACGATTGTTTAGATGCCATGCTGGAAGGCTCCTCTATGGGATACCTGAGTCAGCCTCATTTTCAGGAGCCCACAGCGTTCCCACAAATCATCCGGGTGTCTGATGTGAAGGCATCTCACGATGGTCAAAAAGTCACCTTTAGAAAGAAAAGGAATATTTTTTATCAGGGTGGACTTCGACTGTGTGGACAAGATACTGCAGAGGATATTGTTGCAAACCATCTGGGCTACTTCCACCTCAGAGGTAAGATGCAGCCCAGACAGCAGGAAGGCAACCCTGCCCTCCTGTGCTGTGGTTTGACGCTAAAATCAGATCTCTTCAGGTATACACTTAGGAAGTCTGCCGTAATCGCACAGAGTCACTTTAACCAAATATAAAAGAACATTAACCCGAGCCCTCAACACTAAATCAGGCCTCTCTGAGAAGGAAGCACGTCTCAGCAGGTGGCAGGTTTTCCTAATATGAACAAGCCGTTTTTAAGTATGGCTTTTATTCCTTAATACTAAACATTACCACCAGAAACTGGACTAAAACTCAACTAAAGGTAAAACATCACTACGGTCACTGCAGTACTGACGACTGATGCTTAAAAAGCCTTAAAATCCAGAAAGCGGAGAATAACACCTTGAGAATTAAGCTTATAGGTAGAGTAGCCTACCTATAAATTGTGCTCAGGTAGCAATACTTCATCTTATTTCTATTCAAGTAACTGCAAACATTAACCATATAAGAAATGACTTAAGCAAGAGTTACTAATCATTATGTGTGATTTAGTATTTAAACATTATGTAATGTTACACAAATTAAAAGAAATATGAAAACTTTTATTTTAAAATAGGAAATAAAGAAAAGGAACTGAAACAATTCTTACATATTTAATGTATATCAGTTATAATAGCATCAATTACTATAACAACATTCAGTATACTGTTTAAGTGAAACTGATAACACCAAAACCAGAAGTACTCTTTTTCTTTATTTTTTTTTACTGCATTTTTGCACCATATTTTTGTCTTTGCACTGCTCTGAACTTCCATATCAATGCGTTTTGCACCATGTTTTTCTCCCACGCTGTTTACATTTGATCACTGCTGCACTTTATGGAATGGAAACGTTCATTTCACTGCTAAGCTGCTACTCATTTGCTGTCTGAAAGCTGTACAAAATGAAATTTTGTTTTGTACATACTCTGTGTATACAAAATGACCATAAAAGTTGTCTAAGTTTAGAGGTTTTCCTGTCCTAGCACAGATGATTCTGATGATTGCAGTTCAGCAAAAGCCTGTTAATCAGCTATCAATTAAAATCATCTCTGTTGGAGCAGGGAAACCTCTAAAACCTG